TAAAGACATGTTTATGGTTAGTTATTTTGGAAACATATTTTGCTTTAATTATTTGCTTTTCACCATGATTAACCCTAAATATTATAACTATCAATATAGCAATTATTATGTGAAAGAAACTTAAGAGATTAAAGTTTGCTTTAGCAATGAAAAATTCATATAAAATTTATTCATTATAAATACTATGCATTCTTTTATTACACATCAAGCATGCAAAATGCACTAATAATGATTAGTAGTGATAAGGACACGTTAGACGTGTGTGCATAATTTAAAAAAAAATAAACTTTGATCTTTTAAAAGTTCAAATGTTGGTTACAATTTTAAAAGTTTTTTGAATAAAATTTTAATGAACTTGATGGTTACAATACTTGTGGGTGGTTATGGGTGAAAGTTAATTATGGTTATATTGGTTGGTAATATAATTAAGTTATTGTAAGAATAAAGTTGAAAATAAAAAAAGTGACAAAAAATGTAAAATGTTTACACCAAATTCAATGCTCTCCCATTATATATAACTGCCACAAAACTTGGGGAAGGATTGGGTTGGTGGTTCGGTGAGGGAGTATAATTGAGAGATTTTGGATTTATGCACTTCTACACACAATCTTACACTAAAAAAAAAAAAAAACTGCCACAAAACTTGAGATTATAGTTGCAATATTTAGAACTATATCGGTATATCCTATGTGAGGAGTAAATGAGAACTAGTCTCATATTGGGGGATTATAGTTGCAATATTCTCCCTAAATGTCTTTAATCCAAGAAGTAATCTGGACAGCACAAATTACGCTGTAGAAAGAAATAGGGAAAATCGTTCAGAACATTTTTATCTAGGTTTTTGATTAGTTTTTGACTGAAATCTATCACATGTCTTGCACATAATCTTTTTTTGGGGATAAAATTGTCAAACATATTTCATATTATCTGATCTATAGTCCCTCATATTTCATAAAATGAATTTTTTTTCGTCCCTCACATTTCACAAAATGAATTTTTTCATCTCTCGCATTTTGCAAAATGAAAAATTTCATCTCTCATTGATCATATGTACGATAGTTTTTTCTTATTTTTGAAGACTCATATATATGTCTATTTGATTCCATGTGAATAGTACAAATAACATATAATATATTTTAATTTTAATTTTACCTGAATAAGCTAATTGTAGTTGTAAATGAAATTAAATACATATATATTACATGCTATTTGTATTATTTAGATAAAATCAAATAGATATATACATGGATTTAAACAAAAAAAAACTATTCGTACACATGATCAATGAGAGATGAAAAAATTGAATTATGCGAAATTTGATTTGATAATTTTATCCCTAAAACATGATCACGTGCAAGGGACGTGGTGGATTCCGACAAAAAACTAGTTAAAATAGGGACTAAATTTGATCAATGTAAATTTGTAAAGGATATAAAATTATATTTTTAAAAGTGAGGATGAAAAAAATTATTTTACAAAATGTGAGGGACATTTTGAACGATTTTTCCAAAGAAATATAGAAAGGAAAAGTACTAAATGGTCTCTAGAATATTTCATGACCAATTTAGACGTACAAATTTTAAAATTTTAAATCCCTAGCCGCACCAATTCTTTTTTTCTTTTTGGCACTAATGGCATCTTAATATTTTTTTCTTCAACAGATTATTTATTAATATTAATAGTTTCCAATCTATATTTTGATGATTCAAACTTGCAAGTCTTTTGGTTAGAAAAGTATCTTAACAAAATTGTCCTTCGTTATCAAATATTATTATAGTATATGTTATGTTATGTATAACAAATCAATGCTCTCTGAACGAATTAAGTGACAATCTATATCTATATAAATTTGAGAAGGGATTTTTAGCAACAAACCTCCACGCATCTTCCCACTATCAATTTCATTTTTCTAGCATTCCACATTTAATTTAATTTATAAAATATATTCCTCTCAATTTCCACATCTACTTTTCACATTTGAAATTGTTTGTTACTTTTTAAAATCATTTCATTTCAAATTGTTGGTTAATGTGCATGTTATCCTATTTGAATTTCAACCCATCACTTTTTCCGATTGTCTTGCGTTATTTATGATTCTACAACAATTAAAACTTCTATAAGACCATAAGAAGAGATAACAAATATATCATCCTTTCATACTTTCTTATTAATTTCATCCTATCAATTTCATTTTTCTAGCATTTCACATTTAATTTAATTTATAAAATATATTCCTCTCAACTTCTACATCTACTTTTCACATTTGAAATTGTTTGTTACTTTTTAAAATCATTTCATTTCAAATTGTTGGTTAATGTGCATGTTATCCTATTTGAATTTCAACCCATCACTTTTCCGATTGTCTTGCGTTATTTATGATTCTACAACAATTAAAACTTCTATAAGACCATAAGAAGAGATAACAAATATAACATCCTTTCATACTTTCTTATTAATTTAAATAAGTAAGATTATTTACACTCCAGTTTTGTTATTCACACTTCAATAATCATTTTGATTATATAATTTTCATTAATTAGATTATATGATAAAATAAATAGTGGAATTGCAAATAATAAAAAATGAAGTGCAAATAACATTTTCTTAAGTAAGTAGTGGCTCCACTTATATAGGAGTTTGGTTTGAAATTTATTAGTGAGAGGGTAAATAAAAAGAAAACATTGCCAAACTTAGTAAAAGTAAAAAAGTAAATGATAATATTTTATCTTTTAGCTTAGTAATCCTAAGTAAAAGGCCAAAATTAAATAAAAAACAAAAAGGAAATAATGTCGTGGATTTAAAAAATCAAGAATAGTACCATTCATGAAATCCAAATTATGAAATCACTAAATAAAAAAAAAAGTACTACTAGCTTTTTAATGTGGATTTTTTTTAAATATTCATTTTTGATAAAAAAAAATAATGATAATAACAACACCAATTCTACCAAAATTTTTTTAAAAAGTAACATTATAGTTTAAGAGAGAGATGTAAAACATTCAACCCTAAAATACTACTTAATTTGTATACGCCTGGCCCAAATTTGACATTAGACTTGAATAAGAGCACAAAACCCAAACACTAAAGATAACTTTTGGTATTATTAATTATTTTATGTATTCTTATTGCTGTCTTCATATGTAAATATGTATTTGCTATGCTAAATATATATATATATATATATTGATTGTAGTACTTGAGGATATTATAGATATTATCAGTTTTTCATTTCTATTTTTAGATACTAATACTTGCAACCATTGTAATCAATTTTTAATTTTATATTTTTATTATGATAGATAAAGTTAAATATATTGGGTAGCAGGGATAAGAATCTAGATGTTAGGTATAGGGGGGGAGGGAGGGAAGAAAATGGTGAGGAGTTGAAAAGTGGCAGAGAATGTTGAAGAAGAAATATGGGTTACAAAGATGGGTGGAGAAGGAGAGAAGAAGAATGGGGAATGCAGGGATATGACAGAGATGACAAAAAATAATAATAATAGAAATAGTGGTACCATGATAGAAGATATGAAAGTCATAGGAGGCATTTGATGACTAGCTGGCAGATAAGAGAAGAGGGAAATGATGGTGATTTTTAATAATTTTGAAAACTCTAAAAACACATATTACGGAGATTTTTTTTAAAATATACATTAAAATTTATGAAAAATGATAATCTAAATGCAGTCAACAATTTTAGGGGCACAAGATAGAAGAAAGATTTTTTTTTTTCTAAAAATGGAAGAAAATAAATTGGTTATAATTTATTTTTTTATATTATAAGTTTTGATACGTGGATATAACATAATATGTTTTGTCGGATATTGATAAATTAATTTTTTTTTTAGAAAACTCTTCTTATCTTACCACCTAACCTAACTCTTTCCTTAAATGCGTTAATAATTCTTTTATCATGTAAATCATTATAGATTATTTTTTTTTTTCAAAATATTAAGCATACACTTCTTTAAAATTTTTAGTATATATATATATATTATTCTATACCACAATATATAAATATATATAATATTATTTTGATTTGAAATATAATTCTGTGCATAGTCAAAATACTAGTTCCAAAAACTCCCAAACAAAAAAAAAATCTAAAAAGATATCTTGCGTTATCCATTTAAGAATCCCCTAGAATTTGGAGTTAACAGGTGGGCCGGTGGGATATTGGTAAAGTTTTTTTTTTTTTAAAATTAAAAAATGGTTTTTTTTTCTTTTAATCTTTTATTTCACATTTACATTTTTTTCAACTGGATAGATCAATTTTTTGACCTGAAGGACCAGCCTCTAAATAAACTATTTAGGGACCATGTAATTTAACCATAAAAGTTTAAGCATTAAACAGAAATTTAACAAAATAATTTAGAGACCATGTGGTTAATTTGACAATATTCTTTTTTTTTTCTTCCGAAACGATAGAGGAGTTAATTTGACAATATTCAAAACAGCAAAACTCCAGAGCTCGATCCTAATGATTGTTACTTTGTCCCCAATTTCTTCCGCCTCAAAAACGCGGTAACACAGAAACAAAACTCTTCAATCTTTCATACATCCCCATCCGGCCATCCCCCAGCAGTTTAGGCTTTAGACACCCAACATCTCCCCTCAAAATATGGAAACGAAAGCTTCCCATCGAGAAGATCTATCATCAGCACAAGCAGTATTGATGGGAGCTTTAGCTCCTGGGGTCAATGTCAGTACAACGTTCCCAGTTCATCGTCTCCTTATAATTTCCCAAATCCTAAAATTCAGTTCCCATTTGTCTAATTGGTTTTCTGATTTCAGGGTCCCACTTGGAATACACTAAAGATTGCATTTTTTATGCTGGGTGTAAGTCTGGTTGCTATGCTAGGCTTAGCATTCTCCTCTAGTGACTCTACATTGACCCTCCATGTTGCTGTTTTTGTTTTTCTGACTGGAACCCTTTTCTTTCTTTTAAGCAGGTAGCTTAATTGATCCTTCTACTTAAAACCCTTTATTTTCTTTCACTTATTCTTTTTTCCTTTTATTTGGTTGTTTGTCTGGTTATTTATGCATTTAAATTATATATATATCTAATTATAAGGCATGAATTTGTACATAGTCGACAGTTGGGAGTAAGAATAGCATATGATACGAATTTGGTGGACTTTCTATGATTACCTATCCAATGTGAACTCATCATGAAGTGGTACAAATTTGTCGCAGAGTTGCTTATTCCTCTCGTTCAGCTGGAGATTGAATGAGTAGTGAATTAATAATTTCTGGTTGAGATACTTGGAAAAAAAATGTTGAATGTAAACTCAATATGAAGCAAAGAAATTCTAAATCTCTCATGTTAGCCTATACTTGATGATACATGCTCTTATGCAAATTTTGCCACCAACTGCATACCTTGCTTGTATATATAAAGCTTAGGACACCTATTCTAGGTTTTTCTCTCTTTTTTATCTTTTTGTAAATACTTTTTGGCTGAGTGGTTGTGTTTCTATTGTTCAAAGTGAAACTTAGTGAGTTGTAGCTGCGGCTTGTGAAAGTATTGACGTGAAAGGTAAACCTTAGTCATGAGACCACTACCATTGAAGGTTGGCAAAGACTTATGGATATGGAACACTACCCCTCCCTATAAGCATCGTAAAGTTTGGTGCAACTCTAAGGTTGTGATAGCTTTGTATAATTGTGGTGGCGAGGCAATGCCATGATTTTTCTGCCCTCCCCTCTCACAAAGTGTCTTGCTGGAAAGCTCTCACAAGAGCAAGCATAAATGGTATTCCTGTAAGAGATGTGGTGCATGTAAACATATTTTTATTTAGTCCATAAAGTAGAGGTGATGCACGATCATGTGAACATTCCAAGTGATTTTCAAATTTCATAGGCTTTGGGAAAGTTAAACTGATAAAATTTTTTGGTTCGTTGCTTGACCCTAGATTGATTTAATTCATGGATTATTGTAAGTAGTCATATCCTACTAAACATTTTCTTGCCTCAATCTGGAGAAGATACAACTTAAATTCGTTTTGGTACTAAACCATTCTTTGCCCAGAATATAAAGAAGACACAAGCTAAGTTCCTCTTGGGAGCACATGTTATATTACTTTAGGAAACCATAGATAAAGTCTGCTGTCCTACTTGCAAGTGCATTTGGCCTTCCTGAAGATTGTTGCTTTTAGAATAAATCATGTAAGACAGATTGAACTCAAGTTCTAAGCTTCTATAACTAAGGTCTTTGAGCTTAAAAATTGTGGTAATCTTTTCCATCTCATATAAAATGTATGTGTATGAATGTGCAATGGAATCATGGCGAAGAAAATTGAATTCATCTTAGGGTAATCTATGATTCTATATGAAAGGGCTGTTTTGGTTTTGACAGCTCACATGTAAAGGGTAGTGAGTGAGGAGCATTTTGGCGTGAAAAGGACAGGGCAGAAACAGTTGCTTTATAAGAATGATGGCTTTCAGACATAAACATTGGCCAGGGATCTAAAGTAAGGAATTTTTGCAAGCAACACCAACAGAATATGTTATATTGCAAATGTTTGTGGTGTCTTTTGAATGGCTTTTACTCGTGCACTGCATGTGAGAAATGATGGGCCTGAAGGAGAAATAAAGGAATATGACTGAAGTGCAAAAAGGATTAACCATTGATTGCTTTTTAGTCGGGGTTTTATTTTGATGAACAATCAAGGTTGTGATGTAACAGAAACTAAATATTAAGAGCTAAGATGAAAATAGTGCTAAACCTTGGGCCAGGTTTAATGTAATAACCCCTTTTATTTATCTGTGCTCCTCTTTGGCAAATCCTATGTGGACTTTTTTCTTATTGACTATGTTTTTCAAGTTTGGCAAACGGTGATAATAATCTTTTTTCTGGTGACTTTTATCCTTTGGCTGTTCTGGATTTCCAGTTGATTTATGTTAATACTAAATTAGTCAAGTAGAATTGGATCTATGCTCCAAATGTTTTTTTTTTACTTGAAAGTTTTCTTCTCTGTATTCATATACCTATTCATTCTGCAGCTTTCTTGCACAGACTGGTCTGGTTTCAGTGGAGCATCAAATGCAAGAAATAGGTTTGGCACCCAAAAGTTTTGGGGATGTTAAAAATGATAAGAGTAATTGACATCCAAATAAAAAATATTTACAAGTGATACATGTATGATTTCTGAAAAGAGAAACCCCTAAATGGCTAACTGGCATCTGCAAGGAGGTAGGAGGAGGAAGGGGAAAGACCAAGCGTCCTTGGTCAATCATTGCTTCTGTGCTGATCTTCATTTACGATGGAGCAGTGTCAGTCTTCCTTCTGCTCCTTCTCCTTTGATTTACTCTTTCTGGACTTTATGAAGCAGAAACATGAGCAGCAGGGAAATTGCAACAAGAGCTTCATGCCTTATCTTTTCTGGATGATGGCAATGTTCAGAATACCAAAATGTATAGGGTGTTACAACCCTGTTTTCTCTTTTTATTTGCTCTTGGATTCTATTCTGTCCTTGAAAAGATGAAGATGCCTAGCTTTTTTGTCGAGTGAGTGATGCATCTTTATCTTTATGTTGTATGTACGTGTCTTCTAAACACTCTAATGCCTTGTGAAAGAAAAGGTTCTTTTTCAGAATTCCAGAAAAGAGAGTTACATTTCATTATTTAAATAATTTTGCTTAGTTGATTGGACTAAGCATAATGATCATAGTATTGTATACCAATATTTGTTCCTGTATTTTTTTGGATAGGTAGTTATTAACCCTTAAAGGTGCACGAAGGATGGAATAACTTTGCCTTGCCGCTCAAAGTAATGTGATCTTTAGCAGAGATGGTTTTCACTTTGTATCTTCCTTGCCATCCGGTAAGTGCCTTGCCTAGCTATTAATATTAAATTACTCTCCTGGTCAAATTCTTTACTGTTCTATGCCCCTTTCACCCAGCCTGCTGCGACCTCAAAACACTGAGGTTTCAACCGTTTGATAATTCATGCCAATCAAAGTCCCAATTGTCCAAGGCTCCAATCCCAATACGAACCATATTAATTTCCTATGAATTTTCATTTTGCCTTTTAATCCACAATTCTACTAAAAAACAAATATACCCATCACAATGTAATTGCCAATATTACAGCACTTTCCGGACCTCTCGTTTACACTTCATCTTCTGAGCCGCCCAGAGCGGCTATCCGTTAACAAGTGCTGGCTAAAATTTCCAAACCAAATTTATAATGCTTTTCTATAATAACATTTTGTAAAATGACTTCTTATTCCTTACTACAGCCAAATTGGTCTGAAGACTCATTTAATTGGCAATTTTTCTTTGAACAGGCTCTCAGAATCCATAACTCTGATCTAAATGGAATGGACATTTTTTTAACAAAAAGAAAAAAGAAAAAGATCTAAAGGGGCAGAATTTTTTTTTTTAATTTTTTAAAAGAAAATTAAAGACCAGGTATTCCATCTCTGATCCTGTGAGCTTTGTCCAACTTAAATGAGATGATGCAAGACGTCAAAAATGAAGCCATTGCAACTTTCAAGTTTAAGTAGCAAACCTAAAGTTTAGTTCAAACAAAAAAGATTGTGTAAAATGAAAACAAAAATTGGACCGATAATGAGGATTAAGCTCTCGAAAGTGCATATTTGGTAAAGTTAAGCATTTTGTCATAGGATTTAGATAAATAGTCTATTTCAAAGGAATATATAATTAGTGCCTGAAGTTAAGCTTTTCCTAGTTGTAGGAATTGGCTATGTAGTCTACGTGATTGTGATTGAGACTGTACATATGAAAATGTGTACATATGCCGGCCTGAAGTTATGTAGAAGTGTCTTATCACTAAGGATATGAAAAAGTAACTCAAAAGAACTAACACGTGGATCGGTGAAATTTAGAAATTAGAGTAGAAATCTTCGTAATTATGAAAACTTCATCGGAGTCTAGTTACCACGTGTCTGGTTCTGCCTTGGAACACAATTGCATTATTGTTTCATAGTGCGAAAAATAGAATTCAAACTTGATTGAGATTGATTGAATTCGATTAAGGTGGATTTGGTCAAATTTGAGTAAGGTAAAATAAACTCGATTAAGCTCAACTTTGAAGAATTCGATGAGTTTAAATTACTCGAGATCGATTCGACTTGATATCAGTTCTATGTCTAATCCAGCTTACTTACCAAGTTTGTTGTTCTGCCTGGGAACGTACTTGCAATCTTGTTTCATGGTGTAAAAGCTGGAAAATAGAATTCGAACTCTCACCTTTTCTTTATGGATTTTTTTTTTTTGGCGCTGCTGATGCTGTGAGTTGATTCCTTGGTGTCTCTTTTTCCTTTGGTTAATGCACCAAGGACAAATGCAGTTTCTCTAAACTGCCCTATTTCGTTTCGAAATGGCCTCAATTTTTCCTATCTAACTCTTTACATTTGTCCATCAACAAATAATTTTTGTGTTTGTCCCTCTCTTCTTACATATGCATGCAACTCTGCCGTAACGTATAGCAATTCTCATCACCATTTGCATTCTCAAGCTTTCATGCGTTCATTTAAAAAAAAAAAAAGAAAGAAATTCAGCATTGCCCGCGTTTTTCAATTCAAGAAAATATATTTAGTTCTCTTTCGATTTTTATGCATTTGAAAGTCTCATTTTAAATTCACTTTTTCCTCATATATGCCTAGACTGAGGTTGGCTTAGGAGACCAAAGCTTCAATAGAAACTGTCAAAATCAAAGCGTTCAGTCCTTCCCTTTTTCCCTTTCTTTCGTCCACCACCCCAGGATAATATTAGGAGCCACAATTTCATTTGGAAAGAAAAGCAAAATGACTGGGGGGAAAACAAAAGGAAACAAAAAGAGGCGGGCTTATTTTTAATACATCATAGGTTTAGAACGCAAGTCAAATTTCCAACGTTCTTCAAAAGGTCAAAAATACCCCTGTGAGGGAGATACGTGGCATAAATTAATTTGGTTGGCACAGGCAAGAATACATTGCACCCACTTGGAATCCTCGGTGACATGTTTTTCTATGTCAATTCAATGCCACTTATAATACACCTGAGATCCTCGGTGACATGTTTTTCTATGCCAATCCAATGCCACCTATAATATTATGTCAAGTATTCTATTATTATTTACATTTTAATTTTCTAATAATTCAACTTGATTTGGTTTAACATAAATGTAAATAATAACAGGATAGTTGTCACAATATTATAAGTGGCATTGAATTGACATAGAAAAACATGTCACCGAGGATTCCAAGTGCCATAAATAGGACCCATCCTTGTCCTTCCACCGTCCCAGCATTTCCTTTGTCTGCTTTCGCGGAAGAGGTGGGGGAAGAAACAAAAGCCCAAAAACACGAGGGACAAAAACAAGCCAATTTCTTGCCAGATAGTAAAGTCAAGCCAATTTCTTTTTTCCACTTCGACTCTCACCGACAAATATTGCTATGAAAATCCAAAGCTCCACTACTCTTTTTTCTTCTTTTTCTTGGTCTCTTCTCTCTCTTACTCAAACCATATTTTGTTTCTTTCTTCTTTTTTTCTCTTTCAGTTCAACTTTTGCATGGCTCTCTGTCCATAACTCCCTTCTCGGTACACTGGTACATTACTGCTCCACCGCAACCCACTATTTTCGCTCAGCGCACACCCACACCCACACCCACACACACATTTTGTATCTGGCAAGAACTCAAAGTGGTTTTAAGCAGTTTCTTTTCAAGTTGTAGCTTCTCTTTTCTTTTCTGAAATATTTTTCTTATGAAGAGTCCAAGATTATCAACTCTGGAAAAACCACGTTTTTTTTCCTTTTCTTTTTCTTGCAGTGAAGGGGTAGTTATTTATCATCTTGATCATGGCGGAGTGGAATCCTCAGAAAGTGTAACTTTCCCTCTTTTCTTGTTTTTTTCAGAATAATTGGTTCATCTCACTTTCCCTATTCTCTTGTTTTATTGATTACAGCTGGAATTGTTCTGACATACCTCGTGTTTTTTTTTTTATTTTGTTTCCACTTTTTTTTTGGCAGTCTTGATAAGTATGTTCATGACTACATGATCAAAAAGAACATGCATGAGGCTGCTGAGATATTTGTCCAGGAGGATAACCTTGGTGAACATGCAGTTGGTATGTGTTCAGCATACTATACATTCCAATCTCTTAGTTCTAATAGATGCATTTATGTCTTATCAAATGATTCCTTACCATACTTGCCATTTTTAAAAATTATTGTCCTTGTTTTATTATTATTTTTTAATTTTTCCTCTTTGTGTGGTATGCAATATTAGCTTAATTGGACAATCTTGATAATTCATGTGTTGCATGATCAATCTGATGATATATTTTGGTTGTCTTAATATCAACTATTTTCTTTGTCATAATAATTGATGTAGTGACATATGGTAATCATGCATCTTATAAGTAGTTGATGAAATCTATCCCTTTACTTGATTTTTCAATACATATGTTATCCATCTTGAGTTAAATGGCTATTTATATTAATATGTCATTTGTAAAGCAAGTAGTTAATGCTAATCCAAATTTTTTTCCTTGGGGAAATGTCTCAGCTATTGATTGTCCTGAGGGGTTTTTGAAAGAATGGTGGTCTTTATTTTGGGACATATACTGTTCTAGGCTTTCACAGGCCAATGAAGTTGGTGCAGCGGAACCTTCTCCAGAGGTATTGTCTACTGAATCTTTAATTGGTCATTTTAGCTGTATTATTGGTTGCAAAGTTCATTATCGCATGTATTCCATGTAAATCTCAGGATATAGTGCCACCAACCGGGAATGTGCTACAAAATATCCCTCCTATCATGCCAAGGCCTATTATGCTGAGGCCACCAGTGAGTCAACAAACAACTAGGAACAAGCAGCAAAACCCCCTTGCTTCATTGCCAAGGCCGCAATTGATTCAGCAGGCCCTGAATTCAATGCAAACAACCTTCCCTCTTCTGTCAAGGCTGGAAATGATCCAGCAGCCCGTGAATGCAATGCAAACACCCTTTCCTATGCTGCCAAGGCCGGAAATGATCCATCAGGCCATGAATGCAATGCAAACACCCTTTCCTATTCTGCCAAGGGCAGAAACAATTCAGCAGGCCATGGACGCAATACAAACATCCTTTCCCATACTGCCAAGGCCAGAAATGATTCAGCAGGCCATGAATGTAATGCAAGCAACCCGTCCTATACTGCCAAGGCCAGAAATCAATCAACAGGTCATGAGTGTGATACCAATGTCAAAGCTGGATTTCTCTTCAAATTTTGCTGTCGGTCGAGGATTTGGTATGCACTGTGGAGAAATGCCAACTTTATTCTCAAAAATGTATGACCAAGAGTATCTGAAGTGTTCTTTTACAGATTTAACTGCTAATTTCCAGCTTCTTGAAGTTGAAAAAATGACTCAAATGCTTCCATCTTCGAGCAACTTCAGGTACATTCAACGAAAGCAGTATGATAAAATTAACTTGTCTTCAAATAAATTCCCATCTGTTGGATTAGGTAGTCCTGTCTTATCATTTATTGATAGTATACCTTGGCTCTCCCCATCTCTCAGTTTTCAGCTGATTGAAGTATATGAAAACTCTTGCTTATTTTTATTCAAGAATTGACATTGGAAATAGTGATAATTGTTAGCGCTAGACCTTTTTGTGTTTACTGGGCATTTATCACTTGGCCAAAGAGTCAACTTTCATATCTTTTTGGGCAACTACTAGGCCCCTAGCTGTTCAATGCATGCAAATTGCATGTCTGAAGTAGTTGCTCATAATTGGTTGTAACTTGAGCTCCTGAATAGTGATGGGATGTGCATTTTTTAGCCCTGTGGATTCATAAAATCCCAAATGATTAAGATTTACTTTTATATCTTAAATGTGTTTTTATATTTTCTCCAACCAATATTGATGTCTTTCAGCCGACAGCACCAAATTCCAGAGGAGATTCAGAGGCAAAAGATGTTTGAGAATATTCAAGCACAGTTTGCCAGAGTATGCTTATGTTTATGTTGATAATAAGAGCATCTGCTTTCCTAAAACTAAATTCAAGATAACAAAGCCTTACCCTTTCGCAGGATGGTGGACATGGTTTAAATCTTGAAACATCCAAAGATGCTGTCCCAGTACCTCAAGGAGCACCTCAGGCTGCAGTGCAAGAAAGAGAAGTTTTTGACGCTGGTGAGTTTTCTTCCTGCTTTCAGATCTTTTCAAAATTAATTTCACTTATATTGCAATTATTTTTCTGCATCTTATACATGTTAGATTATGACAATGAATCACCATACATTCTAATACTGAAAAATTTATGCATACAAAATAACTGCTTTAAAGCTGGAGCAGCACTAACTTTGAAGTATTCTTGCGTGATGACTTGTTTCAAACATAAGATCATGATGGTTTAATTGAATTGCAAATATTATATCAATAACTGTAGACTGAAGCCACCATTCTTCAGATATTTTCATAACTAGTATGTTTAGTATGCTTACACTATGAGATAACGAGTCAGATATGCAATATGGCAAATACATCTTCTTTCCTCTCTTTTGTCCTTTATCAATTTTCAGAATTCCTTTTAAAAATTGTATCACATTTTAAGTCAAGAAGCCTTAACCACATTATTTGGAAGCAACAACATGCATCTTCTTTCTATATTTAGTTCATTGTTTGGCTTATTTATTCATAAATGACCAGTTAAAATTCCATTTGTCACACTGTTCAAATTCATCCAATGGTCTACCTTTACTTTAAATGGGTGAAATTAATTCTCTGTGTCAAACTAGGTGCAAATGATATTAACATTTTTAATGCATTTTCCTTCTAATCTGCTTCATACGTTTTGAAAATATTTCATTTTGTTTAAGATTCAAGCCATCTACTTGTCTATTTTTGTTCTCTGTGTATTGCTTCTAAGACTTCTTTCACTGACCAGAGCATACCATGATAGAAGTTTCGTGGAGATCTCATCACCACATTTTGGAATATTCCTAGGGCATCATATCTTGTCACATTCCTACTGCACCCATCTATTAAACAAAATTACGTGGAATGATTTGATATGGTACCAAAGGATCTTAAGGTATTGTGGATAAGAATTTGGAATTAGCTTAGCCTGGTTTTGAGCCAGTGGTGACCATGTCAAAAATTAATATAAGTTCCACCGAGGCAAGAGAGCGCCTATCAGTCTTGTTCTGTAATATAGTTGTGTAACCAAAAGTAACTTGGTCAAAGTCTGGCGGATAAGAGATCTATTTTTATGTAGAGAAGGAATAATGGGGACAGGATTCTGTATGTCTTAAATGCACTTTTCATGGATATTAGTAAGTCAGGGCAATTAGCTAAAAATTATAGTCTGATTAATCAAGTGGTTTGCTTTCTGGGTCAAAAACAGTAGCAGAATGTGATAGATACTCCTTCTCTGCTGTTCCATCAGGATCTGCAACCAACTCCAATGCCAGCTTTAGCTCTAGCTGTTGAACTTAGTGACCTCTATCTGATCTAATTGATGGCATGGAGAAGGTTATACTATAACTTTGAGTTAAGCTAGAGAATGCTTGTAACTATTACTATAGATTGTTTGCAATTGGGATAGAAGACATTATACTAACTATTAAGCATTAGTTGTCTGTTATGATATCTTACAAAGTTATGAGACAATTTGCTTTCAACATTTCTATGGATGTTTGCTGTTATAATCTTGTGGAATGCATTACATCAGAAGTCAGCCTATATGCATGCGAGAAGTTGCAATGTGACTTTGTTTCGGACGGGAAACTTGTCAAACTCTCTCCTCTTTTCAACCCAATGCTCGTAGGAAGACGGTAAACATCTGGTGCTTCTTGGAAAATGTTATTAAGCTTCAGTGGAAGCAAGTAGTTTATGGTACATCAATGTTTATGATGATAATCTCGTGTGCCAGATATTGTGAAGCGGATATAGGAAGAATGGACAGAATAGTATTCCTATACCTCTTATTTCTTGACACTGTTCTTGAGCATCGGAAACCTTTAAGAAGTATCCAAACTTTGAAATCATAACCTATAGTTATTGATATGAAGAAATCTCTCTTGCAAGCCCTGAGAAAATTTAGCATGTTTACCCTCTTGTTTCCTTGGAACTGCATTACCTGCTCTGAAATACCCATAAGGTTGTACCTGCTCCAACCTTAGGTTCAATATCTTTGGACAGGCATATCTTTGATGCATTAGGTATGCAGATAAGCAAAAATGCCAAATCCCTTTTGAAGATCCTTTAAGGGTTCAGCATAGTCCGATCTTATGAAAATTTTGTTCCTTTTTTGGAGCCTGATCCTAAAAAACTTAATCATACTTTGGCCTATCTTTTCTAGTATTGTATTCATTGTATTACATGGTTGTCATGTCAGTGAATATTCCAACCTTTTAAGGAGAAACCGAACATATAAAGCATGTGATGCTATTCGGCTTTCCTAAAAAGCTGAGCTGCTAGATTCTGGAAAAAGTTAAGTCATGTCTAACATGAATGGGAATATCTTCTTCAAAACTCTGAAAATATTTCTAGGCCATCTTCCGACAATCGACCTTTTTTGAGCCTTCAAAGGGAATGGCAAAATTAAGGCATACTGAAATCCTTTTCAAGCTTAGTTTTGTAGATCATTAAGTTTGATTATTAGATGATTCCTTCCATTAATATGTGTTCCTACGTCTTTGCACAAAGAAAAAGGAAGTATTATCATGAGTTTAGCAACAAATATCTTGAAAACTGTCTACTAAGGCAATAGGAGATCCATTAGTCAAATATCCTACCATCAATGCGTGTGCCTACATTTCAGCATAAAGAAAAATGAAGTACCATCAAAAGAATAGACAAAGATCATGTAAAATTTCTACTAGGGAAACCCGAAATCCAATAATAGCTCTCCTTTACAAGATTGGAGGACAAAGAAAAATGCCTAAATATAGAAACTCCAAATGCTATCCATGTTGTATTTGTCATCTCTCAAAGAAACTTAAAACCACTTACCTCAAATCTACTAGTTTACAATGCTTTCTCTTAAGAATTCAAATCTTCTTTCTTCTATCCATTCAATTAGACTAGCACACACAAAATGGACTTGCTCTTACAAGATTGTTTGTCATGCCTTGGACGTAGCAGACCAACTAGCATGACTCATGCCATTTTATCCTTAACCATAACAACTTGACCTCGACCTCACCCATTTATATACTAAACTAACAATCATACTTGCCTTCACTCATATGTCATGCTAAGTGAACTTGTCAACCAATTTGCAATCAATTGCAAACGCGGTGCTGTATGTAGGATGAATGGACTAATCATAAAGTGTCCAGGGCTACTAGGTTGAAATCTTGATCTCAATCGTCCAATTGTCTCCAACAGACAGACATGCTTCTATAGTCAAAATTACTTTTTCACTTCTTTCTCGTAGCTTAATGGTTTATAAGTTCTTGACATGATTTTTTCTGTCAAAGACCCAAAAATTGATATGGTTATCCCTATTGCTTGAACGCTGACAAATCTTGGAGGGATCAAGGGACATAACATGGTCCTCCAAAAGGCAAACATGAGTACTTCTTGCTTCCTTAAAAGTAAAGGGCATTTTTATTTGGTGTTAGCTTGCAAAATTGCTACTTTTGAAAGGGTGACTAGTTTTTTGCATTGTGTCTAACATGTGAAGGGTAGGCTAGCAAGAAATCCACTATGCGACTCCTCAAACGACTTATATTGGTGTTCTTGCATTAAATTTGTAGCAAAAGTGGACTCCCCACTTTTACTTGTTCAGTCTTCGAATGACTTCATTTACTATTCTTGGATCTAGCACAGTTCATGTTCTTTTCACATAGAAAGCTACTTCCCATGGTACCTCCACCAAAAGGGCAAAACATGCTTTTTCCTCTGCATTGAGAGTTATGGACGACCATGGTACCTTTCTACCAAATGAAATAGCATGTTTTGCCCCTTGAGAGAAGATATGACTGAGAGGGTAAGTGCTAGATCCTTTTGACTAAATTAATTAGAACTTTTCTATTTCTATCACTAACTAGTATAAACTCACGCTAATGGTCTTCTCTTGTGTGAGCAGTAGACTCTTTAGATCCAGTCATGGCTGCTCGGTAGTTCATGGCAGGAATTGGTACAGAGCCGGAGCTCTAATACCATGTAAACTTTAAAAAGGAAAAGGAAATAAACAAAACTCTGCTTTTCTTTATTTTCCCACACACCGAATATGCCTACAAGCTAGGCATTTATAGGACAACCCTATCACAGTTCTGCCACAACTTAAGGTAATAGAACTATGATTTTAGGGATTACGTAATCAACTCATATCCTATCTTTTATTTTAGTTAATCTATTCAAACTTGATTGATCATAAGCAATAAAATCCCATAATCATGGGAGATAATATCTTCAACAGTTTCAGATGGATAGAATTAACAATCATATTTTCAGTAGGGGATGCCAAAAATATAAATCATGTGGTGTGGATCACATTTTATTCTAAGATTTTGAATTTTCAGCCTTATTAGATGGCGTAGATTAGTGTTTGAGTGCTATGGCTTTTGTTGATTGTTTGTTGGATACCTTTCAATTGCAGAAGTTAATCAATGTACATGATGATCTTTCCGATTTAGTGATAAACACAAAAAATATGATTTATAGGAAGCATTGTGGTAGAACTTCACAAAATTTGGAAAGATCTAGAGAATTATAATGATTATTATTACATTGTATGAATTTCCACAAAAACAAAAAAAAAATTAGTGGCTGTAGGCAACTATTAGCTTTAAATTGTATTTACATATCATAGGAAGATTTGCATATAAAATGAAGGGTGAACATACTTTCGTGTTGGTTTTCATATCATAGTTCCCCAGTAGTGGCTTATCTTTTGTCTTTGGGCAAAAAACCTCAGCGGCCATAAACTATTGGTCAGATCATGTTTTGGCCATCAAACTATTTTTTGTCAATAATTGACCACCAAACAACTTAATCAGTAAACACGCGACCATTTGATCGATATTTGCTATTAATATATGAAATTAGCACTACACGTGGCAAAGTAAGGGGCAATTTTGTCCAGCAACTATGTGTTGCCCCCGCAACTACAAACTCCTCAAAACCGTGGAGTTGCCACTGACCACAAACTCCTCCAGGTCACAACTCCCCCATTCTCCTCGACCGTGGAGCGCAAGGCCATCTCTACCACCAAAATGGCCCCAGACTCGCCTCCGAGGTCCCTGAGCGTAGCCTGCTCGGCGGGCAAAGCGAACTAATCATTCTTGAGCTTTCTCAAAACTGTGGAGGAATCAATTGTGGTAAAGGGCACCCTCTCGAGCAAGCAAATAGCGACCATGGACCTGACAAGGGAAAAGGGCCCAATGGCGTCGTCGATGAGAAACTTGTCGGCGTCGGAGTTAGGAACCTGAGAGAGTTAGAATGCGAGGGGACAATTTGGAAGGTTGAGGTTGTTAGCGTTGGGAAGGGGAGAAAAGGGGCGGGAGTTGAAGGAAGAGATAGCTTTGAGAGAGAGGTTGCGCGAGGAGACGATGTCAGGGACTAAGTTTTGGAGAGAGGCGATGAGGTGTAGCTGAGCATTGTGTAAGGCCTCCACACAGGATTCTAGCTGCTGTCGGACCTGTTTGACGGCAGTCATGGAGTCCTTGCTGCTGCCTTTAGATGGCGTCTCCATGTTATGTTTTTCCTTTTCTCTTTTCTTTCTTCCAATCCTAAGGTGAAATTGCAGTAATATGGAGATTGGGCTTAATTAAGGCGTTTGTGGCAGCTCCTGCGTAGTTGGTGGACAAAATTGCCCCTGTGCTTTGCCACGTGTGGTGTTAATTTCACATATTAATAGCAATTATTGATCAAATGGTCACGTGTTTACTGATTAAGTTGTTTGGTGGTCAATTATTGACGAAAAATAGTTTGATGGTCAAAACATGATCTGACCAATAGTTTAATGGCCGCTGAGGTTTTTTGCCCTTTGCCTTTTAGTACAACATGAAAGTTTAATTTCATCCATACAAGAAGTCCTGCTTGATACAAGAAACAGATCTCCTTTTCATGCATCATGTGCATTTCACTTCAATATAGTACACAATGTTCTCTGCATCACCGAGCAATGTGGTTACCATTATGATATATCCCATTTCTTGTGGGTAAAAATGTTTATCTATATTTGAGTTCCTATTGTGGTCAATGCTTGATTGTACTAACTCTAATCTTGGACCTGCAGGGAAGGGCAAATCAGTCCAACAGATTCCTGTTCACGATCATCTTTTGAGAGTAAGTGACATCATAGGTTTTTACCCTTAAATGGCTTTAGTTTAAGTTGCACAGTTTAATTTAGCTGTTGCATTCACTGGTTAATTACAATTTTTGATCTTTTACCAGGGTGTTGGCTCATTTTCTCCTGGCAGGAGGCAACCATACTTATCAACTGTACCACTGCCAAACCAACAGCAACAAACTCCAGCATTTGGAGCCCACTATCAACAATATCATTTAGCTAAACCAGAAGTGCAGAACTCCGGAAGACTGACATTACCTGTTTCAGGAAGTTTTTGCAATCTGCCTAGTCGCATGATAATTGATTTTGACTTGGGGAAGGTTTTACAAGTAAGATGAAGCAAGCGAACTCTTAGGTTTATACAATAGCTTAAAAGTATGAGGTGTTTTATTTAGTCATTGGTGTCTTTGGCATCCGTGATTTTCAGATTCTGGAATTGATATTTTTTTATTACCCTTAAAAAAGAATCTTTTGAAGATCATTTTCAGCAGAAATTTCAGGGCAAATTATGGATTTCTTTTCGCATTCAGTTTTATGGAGATGTTTCACAGCTAGTTGAAACATATGAGGCTGAGAGCCCTATATACTTCTGCTGACCTTCAGTGAACTCTAGAAGTGCAAAATCTAGATCCTTCTCCTGTATTTGACTTGAAAACGAGTACTTTATTTGCACTTTCTTTCCCAATCCTCTTGGCTGATTGTTATTTTGATTAAAGTCTTGGGGAGTGTTTTTTCTCCATGGGAATTGTTGACAAAGGACATTATTTTCTCAGAAGTAGAATGTTGGAATTGTTAATTGGAAATTTTACTAAATTTATCCTTAATGATATAGAATGCCTTACCAGAAGTCAGCCATAATTTATGCACTTTGTCTTGTTCAGTTTAGTCAATTCTACTTCTTTCAGAATTGCCAACAACAAGTTTTGAGTTGTATTTATGAACAGGTGACCAGAATTTTCATTTGTTATATCTGATAGAAAAGGTGCTGGAGTTGATCAGTTGAATTGAGCCATTATGATAAGTGAACTCGGGTTTTGGCTGGATATCAAATCATATTGCTTGATATAGAGGTGCATTATGGAGATTCTATGTCTTGCTGTATGTCTTTGATCAAGATTAAAGCAGTTTCTTTTGCCATGGCTGTAGGATGATGATGGTAATATTTAGCAGCATTAATGTGGGTGGTACTTCTCTGACAGTTGCCAAGCATACCTTCTTATAGGGACCATCCTCAGATTCACCCTCCTCAAGTTTTAGATTCCTGGGACAAAAGAACTTAAACTTGAAAAACCTTAACTCTTGAGCAATATGTGATGCCACTACAAATTTTATTGTCTTAAATCTTTGGAGAGAATAAATGGACATCTAGTAATGATGGATTGTAGGAAAATTTTGTTTTTAGCTAATATTATTGTTTTTGATGAACTGAGCATGGCATATCAGTAAGAGATTAATTTTCATTCTTAAACCTATTATTATGAAATTTGGATGCAATATGCATTTATAAAACTACCTTAATACCTATTTCATCTGATAAGAGAGCTTGATGGGCTTCTTTTACCCATGGTTAAGCCAATATACCAAAGTGATTCGCTTTCTAAATTTGATCTTCTACATGAAATTATGTAGTTATGGGCTTTTCTGTGATCAATAGCTGCCAGGTAATGCTCAAATTGGCAGTGGAACGGTAGTACAACAACGGGTTCCTGGGTTACAAATGGCCAAGGAAACATTAATCCCTGAGAAACAGCAAACTCCTGAACTAAAACGGCACAAGTCGAAAGAGGTTGGCTCTGGAGTAGTAGAACATGTTTAAGTCTTTTAAATTTCTCGGGTCTTTCTTTTTTCTCCTTCTGGCACAAAACATCATAGAATGTTAAGTAACATATTTTCAAATTTTGTTTTTGTTTGTCTTTCTAATACTACATACTTCTATTGCATCAGAGTGTCAAAAGCAGGAAGAATTCATCAAGTGTTCTGCCTGTTCCAAGCAACTTGGTATATTTCATTTATTCCCATGAAATGCAAATGTACATTTTTCTTTATCTTCTTTTTGGTTTTGGGAATTGGTAGAGAAACATATGAATTCTCCCACGATTTTCTTTATTTACTTCAATTGTGTTTTGCTTTTACTGGAATGTCTCATTATTTTGTTATGCTCTTGGTCTGACGTTTAAGACTTTTCTTCTCTTATGGTTTGCCCTTTGATACCCTTTATTGGCTCTCAAGTAAAACAAACTGTCACTTAGGCTCCAGGGATTTGCCTATGACTTTCAAACTGAATTTTTTCAATGTGCTGCAGGATGGAAGTAATGCAGAAGGGCAGAACACTATGGATGAGGACATCCAGCTCCACATTCCAGATGAGAACGACAATTGTAATGACCTGAGTACTGCACTCAGTACCTTTCAGCAAACTTCACCTGCACTGGACAAGAGTGCATGGAAAGGTTAGATAAATCATGTCCTTAGCAAACTGTCAGAAATGGTAGTTAACACATATAGGTTTGTTTCCTGATCCATCTCCTGTATGCAAAATGACTTAACATTTACCAATTTTAAAGATGCATACAATCTCTTAAGGCAAAGGTTTGACAACTAAGAACTTCAAATAACATTTTGTTGCACAAAACTGACTGCTATTGAAATTTATTCTCCGTCTTGTTTCCTTCCATAAATTCAAAATCCGAATAGCTGGAGTATTGCAAAATGTGTGTCAAGAAGAAGCCACTGAACAATTTCAGTGAACAACTTGAATTGTATGACTATGTTTAAGCAATCATAACACTACTATTTTTTAGGCTTCTCCTTTGGAGAATTTGGCAGCCTTCAATCTCCAAACAACAAGCTCCTGTCCTGTCACTTCACATCAACGGGAAGGTTGTTGGCTGGTGCAGGATATGAGAAGAAGGTTGTTTCTTAGTTTCCTTCAAGTTTAAATTCCAATAAAGTTCTCACATCTTCTTCTGTCTTGATCTTCTGGGTGGATTTGAACCAGATCCTCATATGGAACATGGAAACTTTGTCAGTTGATGTTATGGAAGGGCATTCTGACCTCATCACAGATATTCGATTCAGACCAAATTCAACAGTTTTTGCGACCTCATCTTTTGATAAATCTCTTCAAATTTGGGACGCATCAAAGGTGGATATGCACATGTTTGCTGTACATTGTCAGATAGTAGTATAATCCTTAGATGTCTTGTGTCTGAATGGAAAGACTTTGTTATAGTTCTTTTTCCTCTCTTCATGCTTTCTTAATTCTCTCTTCATGCCATTCTTTGTCAACTGCAATCTTTACTCTTTCTTTTGCTATTGAGTCCACAAAATGCATTACTAATGAATATTTTTACGTTATGCATATTCACAAAATGATATTTGCAGCCATCTATGGTGGGCCAGGAACATGATAGATATAGCCAAAAAAAAACCTACATCAAACATCACTTTTACATCAAAAAGCTTCTTTATATCAAACATTAACTTTTGCATCAGTATTTTGTAATTTTATGCAATTACATACTATTTACAGTTCGAGTTGAACCTTATGACGTACATGGTCAAAGTAGGACTGAACCATGGCAATATGCATTTTCCCCCTCTAACAGTTGTGCTTTATTGGAGTTCTTGTTGTTCAGCAAACAACTGCTTACTTTATTCCATGTCTGCAAAATTTCTAGCCAACAAATCCTCCATCTAAGCTTGATGGTCATTCTAAACATGTGATGTCACTGGATTTCCATCCAAGGATGGGGGATGTTCTCTGTTCTTGTGATAGTAGCAACGAAATGCGGATATGGAATGTCACTAGACAAACATGTGTTCATACTTCTCAGGTGAGTCTAATAATCTTTTTTTGCTGATTTAGATCATTGAATGTTATTTTACTAGTTATGCATCTGCATTCTGTCGTTTTATGCTTATTAGTCCATCTAGTTTTTAAACAAAGCCTTGGTGGTGACCCCCCCCCTCTTTTGACTTTTGTTCTGTATAGTAGCTTTTTTGTGTGAAGCTGGCCAAACAAGTGGACATGAATAAAGATTGGCTAAAATATTCCTTATGATTATTCTTCTTGATATTGACCACATTTGTGATCTACCAGATGTGTGAACTTTTGTTGGATCTGGAAGCAGATTTTCCCAACTATTATGAAGAGTTACAGTAATTAGACTACACTAAAATAGATACTACTTAATCAAAGAACAAAACATCGATTACTCTATTTCTCAAACCTGATCATTTTGGTGTTATTCATAGCAACATCGACCTTGATCTTATTGAGATGATTTTTGAATTCTTACTGATCTGAATCCAGGGAGGTAGTAGACAAGTTAGGTTCCAGCCACAACGTGGGGACCTTTTAGCATCTGCTTCAGGAAACATCATCAATTTGATCGATGTTGAAACAAATAAAATCACTTACCAGTTTAAGGTAATAGATTAATACAGTGACTCATCTTCTCATACTTCTCCAAATGCATTGAGTTACTCCAAAATTGATTTTGTTCCTCTTATATCTAGGGACATGATAAAGATGTACGCTCATTATGTTGGGATAATGGTGGGACATATATAGCCTCTGTCAGTGAAGACAGTGCAAGAATATGGACAATCAACTTAGGTGGAAGGTGCATTTATCACCTGCACTGCACTGGTAATAAATATGAGTCGTGCACCTTTCATCCTGGGTATGCTCAATTAATGGTGATTGGAACTAACCAGGTGCAAACTGAAATCTTGTCTTATTAAATAGTAGAATTTTTTCTTGGCAAGATTTGATGTCATTTTGAATGGGGGTTTCCTCTAGTATGTGTATTCTCCTGGAGGATGTTTTTCTTCACTCCTTTTGATTTCATCTCAATGCCTCCAGGTAAGCAAGCAGTGCAATGTCACTTTCTTTGACAGTTGGAACAATGATAAAGATATTTAGCCATACTTGACTTGCTCTCTTTTGCCTTGGAAAACCATGTCCATTTTTTCGTCAAATTATATCTATTAAACCCCCTACTAAATCCTCACACAAAAACCAACCTGCTTATGTATATAACTTCAAAAGTAACAGCATTTTTTATGATTTTCCATTCACTAATGATGCTTTCAATTGGAAGTCCTTGGTCAGTTTTTCTTTATATTTTTCCAGAAGCTGCTTGACTGGGGTATTTATTTAGATACGACTTGGTACGTGAACAAAGTTTTCATGTGATCTGCTTTGAGCAACCTCAAGGAAGGAAGTCGCTTCTGGTTTTCCATCTCATATGCCATTAAACTAATAATTTAGAAACTCTAATAGGTTGTAGGAATGATATGCTTAATTTATGTGTTTGGCATCTAAGGTATCTAAAAGCTCTGTAACTAGCCAACCTCTCCCAGAACCTCTGCATGAGAGGAACTAAAATTTAAGTCCCAAATTTTACAGGAACTTAGTGAACAGGAAATGAAGTGTAAAATTGCTGTTCTACAAGTTTGTAGGCATGAATACAGATAAAATGAGAGCTTACTGCTGTTACTAACAAGGTCCTTTTCCTTTGCCTAATGTTTTTGCCTAAGAAATAACGTTACTGATTTCAATATAATGGTCAAGACTCTTCTAAGATTTCTCTTGATGTCGAACCATCTCCATTCTCAATTATAGTGTTATTCAATCAATTGTTTAAAAGCCCAAAGACCTATTCCATTAGCCACAAGATATTACTGTTTTTCTGTTCATTGTTCTAAGTTTTGTGGTGTTATTTTCCCTAGATTTTCTGATCATAATCACTCTGAGAATTCTTGCAGAGACTGGAACTCTGGAGTCCAACTGATACCAATAAAACACAGTCGTATGATGCACATGATGACATAATTGCAGCATTAGCAGATTCACCGCATACAGAAACCATTGCCTCAGCAAGTCATGACAATTGGCTGAAGTTGTGGAAATGACCTTTAGTTTCTTTGTTTCTTTATCTTTTCTAGTATGTGATCATAAATGTGTTTACTGTGGATAATACCTAAAGGAGACAGCTTTGTTTACTAGGATCTGGGTGTAAATAGATCCATTGGTGCTGGTAAGATCATCAGGAACAAAATCTGAAGAGATATAGCACCAGGGAGAAGATCAGTTTAGGCGACAATAAGGCTGGGATTTGCCATGTTTTTGGAGATAGAACTTCCATTCTAAGGATGTAGTATGCACATATATAAAGTGTAAGTAATCAACCAATTTCTCAGCTGTATGTAAATGTTACTTGAATCCAGTCTTTGTGCTTTGCCATCTCAGCCTTCTTCTTCTGCAGTTTGCAATTTTCCTGGCTTCTTTATGTTTTCATTAAGAGAGTACATAGCTTTGGTCATTATGCTTTAAACCATTTGTTGTTTGAACTTCCATTTACTCTGTGTTGGTTTGCGAGAGTGCTTTGCTAATGAAAAACTGGTGCTACTTAGCGGAGTTTCTTGGCCATAACTAGATTTAGGTGTTCTAATGTTTCTGACCTCTAATAAGAAACGAAAATAGCTGCTAACTCCCGAAGAGACCTGCTACATTTGATGATGGATGATAAACCTTAAGGTGTCTTTTAAGTATCAGATGAGTCTATAGATATCTTCAGTATGAATTATAACCACTCTGCTAGTAACTGCTAACAATTGAAATTATTACTACTTCACCTATGAAGATGGCAAAACAAGAGTGCGTTGGATCAGTCGGAGCAACTCCGATTCTGTCAGGCATTTGTTCATGCAACTCCATGAGCTGTCTTGTTGATCTGTCTTGTTGGATACGAAGGACGGATTAGTATTTGCAGTACCCTTAGTTCCTTACGGCTGCCCCAACTCCCCATACCAGTTAATGGGCACTTGGCACCCTGTTGTAGTAGCAGAAAATTACCCTGTAATGAGTGAAAGATCACATTTGAAAAGATGTATTGATTGAATGAAAAATAATCAAATAATAAAATTTGTATTTATATCCAACAGAAACAAATTCTCCTTTTTTTGATAAACACAAACCATACAATTTCCATGGGGCTTTGTCAAGATTAGAAAATAAAAAGGTGCACCTGTTACCTATAGATTTGGCGACAACTTGGAAAGTGTATTTAGATTTTAGACTGAAATCCCTATATTCTCACTTCCAGAACTCTTCCATTGGGATACCGCGCTCTTCTGCAACTTCACTGAAATGCCTCATTTTCTGCACTGCTATAATTGTTGCTTTGGCTATATTGAGGGGACTTCTACTCCCAAGCTCCTTCCCAGAGGCATTCTGAACTCCTGCCATATCTAGAACAGCTCCTCCTGCAATGATCCCAGTGCCTGATGAAACAGGCCTAATCATCACTTTGGCTGCCCCATAATTTGCCTCAGATCTGCCATTTAATTGAATTTAAACATTAATTAATTTAATAGTATTCATTTGGCAGTGAAATCCAATGGATACTTGATAAGCATACTACGTAGCTTGCATTACTAGATGGTTCTGAAGCGGGCAAGATGAAGTTTTACAAGCCTAATGTATCTCTTTTTAAGTTTTACTACTACATCCTACCTGTTTCAGTACAAAAGATGCAATACTTAAATATTTCCACAGCAGCAACATGTTATTTAACAAAGAATCCAATATTGTTTAACATTAAAAGAAACAAATCCAACACTAAAGAATATTTTTGACCCGTGAGGCATTGGCACAGTGATGATATTCTTTCTAGCATCCATAGCAGACTTTTTGATGGCATCCACAATTTCTCTAGCTTTGGCAACTCCAACTCCCAGTCTTCCCTTTTTATCCCCCACCACCACAACAGCCCTGAATCTCAACATTTTTCCGCCTTTAACCACTTTATCCATCCTCTTCAGCTGCACAACTCTCTCCTCAAACTCATCTTTGACGGGCCTTTTCTCCTAAAAAGTTCTCCCGAGCCCGTTCTTCTTTTGAAGCTTAAGAGTCGCCCATGACTCTTACGTCATTGCCAAGAAAACTCTCCCCGCTATAGGCTGGACCGTACAATTCTTCGTAGGCTTGGGCAATTTCTTCCTCAGCTGATTCAAAGGGTTCTTGGTGGGACGAAGCCTTCCGGGCGTTCTGGAGGGTTGAAAGTAATGAGCATTTCCGGGTCTTCTTCTTCGTTGTCGTAAAAGGTTGTTTCGATATCCCGAGGAATGTTTCTCGCCTTTGATCATTGGTCCCTGTTTGTTAAGCTTCGAACGTTGGAAGAAGGGTGTCGAGGTTTATAGGGGTAGGAGGGAGGGAGACGTGTGTTGGGTGTGAAGGGAGAGGAAGGAGAAGGCAGAGAGAAGGGTTGTAGAGACGGCCATAATATGGATGGAGTCGGTTCGAAGTGATCAGTGATCAGGAGGACAGAATTTAACATTATTGTTTTATAACAAACTCCATCAGTAAAAATCTAGAGAGGAGGAGTAGAAAATAACCAGGGATGCGCCTAGTGTCTGCAACAAAACCCTAGATCGAACTAGACAAATGTGAACCAACCCACACCACCTGCTACAAGTAAAATGGCTTCTCCCTCTCCATCTTGATGGTCATGGCTTCAAGATGAAAGAAAGGCTTGCTTAGATCAAAGTATGCAATCTCACTCCCCTCTTCTTCTGTTTGCACATTTTGATTTTGGTACGTGAGGATGCATGCATTCATCTTTCATTCCGAAGTCTAGCTATGTGACAGAGGATTTGGATTAATTTCACCTGCATGGTCGGTCTCATGCATCACATCAACATACACACTAAAACATTCATGTGCAACAAAAACACAACAAATTTTGTTCTGTCTTTAGAACGTGCGTGTATTTAGATTTCGATCTCATAATATCCCTCAATTCTACTTTATACGACAGACATAAATTAAATGATAGTCTATTTTCTTGATTTTAAGAATTTTCATATTTATACCTACTTTTAGACATATTGTGATTTTAGACATCTACTAAAGATGGAATTTGTATTCATATTTTTTTCCCAAAAAAAAAAAAAAAAGAAGAGGATGTTGGACTGAATTGGATGGTATTAATTTTGCATCATTCGGATCAGTACATCTCATGCGGCATTGTGCGACGGCGTTTTGATGTCGTTGCACGAATGAAAAATGGCGTGATGACGCGTTTAGTATAATGGATATGGTTTACTATTTCGTTATTTGAGCAAATATTCTTTACAGTAGGAGGATAAATGTCATCGACTAAGGCAAAATATATATATATATAATTGAAAAGATCCCTTGAAATAAAAGTTAAAACCGTAATAAAGAATTACGATAAAAAAAAATTCGAAAGTTTTAAGAAAAGAAAAAGGCATATGACACATTGCGTTAATTAGAATTTGTTAACAATGCACTAAAAAGTTAGATTATGACACAAAAAGAGGATGAAGGAAAATCTCCTCAAATACGAGGGATGGTTTTCTGTTTTTTCTTTTGTTCTCTTTTCCCACAAGTTTCTGAATCAAGAAGTGTACTAAGTACAGATTTGATAACAACATACATAATATTTGAGAAAAACTGTATGTGGGACTACATTGCTGAGTAGTTGGATCTACAGAGAGAAGTCTGACAACAAAGATTTGGTCAAGTCCTTCACTTCCAAAGCTCTTCCATTGGAATACCACGCTCTTGTGCAACTTCACTAAATTGCCTCATCTTCAGCACAGCCACGACAGTTGCTCTTGCATTATTGAGGGGATTGTTACTTCCAAGCTGCTTGCCCAAAGCATTCTCAACTCCAGCCAATTCTAGAACAATCCTCACAGCTCCACCAGCAATCACTCCAGTACCCGGAGATGCAGGTCTAAGCATGACTTTTGCCGCCCCATAATCCGCATCAGATCTGCCAAATTACATGGATATCAGAAGATAAATTAACCACATATCAACAATAACCAGAAATTTAGTCAGAAATGATACCCTCTTAAAGTGAACAAAGACAACTCTCAAACAGGCAAGGTGAAGTCTGTGTTGATGCATATGTACCCTGTCTGGATAGACAGAAAGCACGAGGTACCAAGTGAACTAAAATATCTGAGGATCCCAGTCAATATTGTCAACTTTGCTATCCATAGTGCCATTGGAAGTTTTTGACAAGGCAACAAGTGAGTTTACAACACTTTCTCAGAGCTACCATGCTCATGCATGAAGTTCCCTTTGAGCAGGGCTACAATATTTTGAGCATAAATTTTCAACAAAATTCCAGAAAGAAAAGCCTTGTTGCTCATAGCTGATCATCTACCCTAAAAACCACATACCAAGTTTACTCCATTCTTCTGCTGAAACTTCATGAAACTTAACAGTACTATCTGCTCAAGAAAGATGATAGGGTGCCATGATCGTCAAAACAGGTCTAAACCTCAAAAAATGGAACAAACATCATCCATCAAAACTTCTTAGGACAACACCATATGACCACATGCAAGCAATGATCCATGGCAAGATGACAACATGCAAGCAATTAAATATCAAAGAACTTATTTTAGGCAGTTTACATGACAAGGACATTTAGTTCTTTGTTCACTGTCATATTCTGCCTCTACAGCACAAAGTTAGAAACCATCTTCAAAAAGGTGGATATTCTATACAGCAGCTCGTGGTTTAGGCTATGAGGTAGAGGAGAAAACCGCAGAGAAGCTGATTACTTGATCTGTAAACGCATAGATACCATAGCTGCTAGAAAGACTGATTTTTATTCATGGACTGCAGTATCCACTAGCTACATGCTTGTAGCATAGCTGCTGCTTTGCTTTTTGGATATCTTTCCATGCTTTAACAAGCAAGCCCAAGCCTTGAACTTATAAGCCCATAGGATTGACTGGGCATAAGCTGAAAGTCAAGTTGTACGTATAAAAGGATCTGAAAGGTGCTACTACCTTAAAAAACAGCAGAACATTGCTGGCTGAACAAAACATGTAGCTAGGCAACTCAAAAATTAAAATTGTAGCTAGGTAGATGGCAAGTGCTGTCTAGCTTCCAGCTGTTCTTTATCCTCCTATGGAACTCAAAGCCAAGTAAAAAGAGCTTGCTGTTGGATCATAGTCTGCAAGAAACGTGAATAAACAGGGAACTAGTTTTGAAAAAAACCAGTTATATGATCAAATAATCCGAACTTTGACTTTGAAGTTCGCTTTTGGAACCAGATTTGGCGTAAACTTATCAGTTACAATGGTTCAAACTACTCTCATTTTGCAAAGGAGAAAATTTCAAAAGATTAACCATAAAAAGCTCTCGTAATTGCAATGGAAAGAAGCGCGTAACAAGTTCATCTACTCATAAAGTTCACTTCATAGGCAACTAATGTACCTAATACTAGGGAGCTGTTTATTAACATTTCTAGTTATGTTAGACCGCCACTTCAAGTCAGCTAAAAACTTTTATCTGCCCTAAAATGACTGATCCGCAGTAGTCTAGGAAGAACAAAGCAAATTCCTGGCAAATGCCTATCTTCATAGCTCAAACAACTGCTAGAATCCCACATAAGATTTCTTTCTTTCCTTTCAAAAGCAGTATATAATTAGTCCAATGAAAGTTCGTAAGGTTGACACCCAAGAAAAGCTTCATATGCACCATAATAACAAATGCTACGTCACAATCCAATAACTTTTATTCAAAAACGGAAGACCAATCCTAAAATGCCAATTCATTACACAAAATTCCAATTCCAAGAACAGAACTTTCAACTAAAACAGAGCTAGCCCGGATGATTTTACCTGTGAGGAAATGTCAGATACTTGGTCATGGGCACTGTGATGACATTCCTTCTAGCATTAACAGCAGATTTCTGAACAGCAACAGCAACTTCCTTAGCTTTCCCAACTCCAACACCAACTTGTCCCTTTTTATCACCCACAACAACCACAGCCCTGAAATGCAATTGCTTGCCGCCTTTAACAACTTTGGTCACTCTGCTCACTTGCACCACTCTCTCCTCAAACCCATCTTTAACCTTTTCTCTCTGGCCTTGTGAACCAAACCCACTTGTCTTTTTCACCTTAGGATCCATCACATAGATGTCATTTCCAAGAAAAGTTTCACCACTGTATGCTGGCCCATAGATTTCTTCATACCCTCGGGCTATTTCATCTTCTGTCTCAATTGGCCCTTCGTCAAAAGGAGGAGGTGGAACAAAGTCCTCTGGGCGCTCTGGTGGGTCGAATGTGGAGACTTCTTCCGGGTCTACATTGTCAAAATAAATTGTTTCCGCACCACCAGAAGTAGCCTTGACGGGGCTGATTTTTGTGACTTTGGGAAGGAGAAATAGGGAATATTTGGGGTTTTTTAAAGGGGAGAGGGAGGGGTGAGAAGAGGGGAGATGGGAAAGGCGTGGTGGGTGATGAATGGAAAGGGAGGAGAAGGTGGATAAGGAGCTTGGAGAGGCAGCCATGTGGTGGAGGCGGTGGTGGCTGGAGATGGAAGTTATCAGTGGAATAGTGGAGTGTAAGCAAAGGGGGTGAGTCTTATCTCACTTCTCTTTTCCCAGCTGTGAGGGAAGATGAAACGATGAATCGGATTTGGATGCGCCTTTTTTTTCGTTGTTTTTTTTTCTCCTCCTGAGCTGGGGAAAGGTCAGCTTCATTAAAAAGGAGAAAAATATTACAGTGTAGAGTAGAGTAGGCGTTGGCATTGTACCTGATGCTGTCCAGAACAACTGAAGAAATGGAGGGCTAAAAATCTGGCAAAAATAAGCAACCGGCCAAAAAGTATATAATGGCGGATAGAGTTGCCTGTACAAAGAACTATTTTCCACAAAATTATACAAATAACTATTGTATGTTTCCCTTGTTTTTTTCGAATATAGATACTAATACAAAGTGGCTTGGTTCAAAATTTTTTTTTTTTGTCACTTTTTAACTTCAAATTTTTACCCTTACAAGAATTAATTTTGCCCTAATTACTTAAGCACAAATTACCAACCCATAAACATTGTAATTATCAAATTAATTATAATATTATAGGAAAAAATATTAGTAAAAGATCACAGTTCTCGTTACTAATGAAAGTTCCATATATAATTAATTCATATAAAGAATAATTCATTTCTAAGTTGCACAAACGCGGCTTAACACTAGTAGTGATTAATTGACTGATCCTTCCCTGCTCTAATGAATTGAGTTTGAGCTGAATCTCGGGACAACCTCCAAGGTTTGTTTGTTCTCCTAAATAAACAAACAAATTTCGATCATTGTAAATGTGCTCAACTGGGATATTGGGCCTCTTCCCCCCCCCCGGCGGGGCCGGGCGAAAAGATGATTTGGGCCTGAAATAAGGTCTAGGCCCATTTTCAATAACATCATCCGAAGAAACCGAAATGGAAACGTGGCATCGGGTCAACACGAGTCATCTACCAAGGGCGAAGGTGGCACCGTCCTCTGCTTTCCCACGTCCATAGAAACATTACAATTTTTTAGACAAAAATCTGTTAGATAAAAGTTTAGGTAAGTTTAGCTTCGATTATTATCACGATTAATATCACTGTGTTCAAACGTGTCTTCGAAATCATAAGTCTCTAATTAATAGATTGTTCATCAATATAAATGTAGTAAGATTCAAATACATGATTTTTATCAAAAATAGAATGTTTTTATCAAATTAAACCAACTTATGTTGCACAAATTAAAGACCCATGGAAAAAAAAAATATATATATATATATCCAAGGATCACATCACCCTGCCGACCATGAATTTTGTTTTCCACTAGTTGTTCAAATGTGAGATGGGGTATAATTGATCTATTGATTGAATATAATAGCTATATGTATATACATAGATAATAATTAGGGAAAATTGCAGAAACCTCTCTTGAGATTTCTAATAGTAGCACTCACCTCCCCTCTAATTTAAGAAATTGCATTGACCACCCTTGAGCTTAAGGAATCTATTACAGATTCGGTCCAAACTAGAAAGAGTCCCATTAAAAAAATTGTTTTAAGAACTGAGATCAGAAATTTGTGCCTGTTTTGTCCTTCATCTTGCTTGCCTAGTAGTATTAGCAAAGAAAGGACAAAACCTATTAAGGATTAATAAACTTCAAGACGTATAAGTGCATACCATTTTCTAATGCACCTGCAACAGGTTAAACATCAGGTGAAAGCAACGGCTAGTTAAATGGCTAAATGAGATCTGAACTTGCACAAGCTTATAAATGAGATCTGGTTTAGCAATCCATTACTAAAGTTGGTTTTACCGGTAACACAGCTGATTTCCTTGACTTTAGTTTGGTAGTATAGAGGTGAAGTGTTGTAGCAAAAAGCATGGCTTCTTCTAGCCACGGGGGAGAATCATAGAACTCCCCAATATCTTTCACAATAAGGAACAAATATTGCACCTGCAATTGAAAGGCAACACTGAAGATTTCTAAGATCGAAAAGAATTCCAACAAGTTATATATATATTTTTTTTGTGCAAAATGCAAATACTTCTAGTGGTATAATGGTCCCTAAGAAGAACATTAAAAGCTAAAATGCTACAATCTCAACAACAATTGCCTTCTCCCTCAGCAATGCAATGGAAAAGGCCAATCGTAGTGGCAAGGGTAGGAGCTCTAAATGTAGCAGTCAACATACTTTTCCATTATCAATCTTTTCATAAGGTAGTTTAATTAGTTACTCTATTTGTTTAATTAGTAATTAATTGGCTTTTTTACTCCCTTAATTTATTAATAACCAACATTCATTCTTTTGTAAAACTCGTTCATCGAATAACCACAAATAATTGGGGTAGCTAGGTAAATACACACAATCTTTTGACAGCAATAGACCCCAATTAGTTGAGGAGGTCACTGCTATTTTGTAAATTATAAGGGAGGTGAGTGCTACTGAAAGAAACCTCAGGTCAGGGCAGGTTTCTGCAATTATCGCTAATAATTATATATACATCGATTTTCTTTTTCGTGTTCTGCATTGAGAAGTTTTACTACTCCACTAAACTAGACAAAGATAAGTACTACGCACGTGACCAGTGGCCCTATTGGATTGCGCGAGAGAAGACCCACCCAGAATTAAAAAAGAAGAAAGAAGTCCGAACCGGAACAGGGTTGAGCAATCGGGTATCAACAGCCACCACACACTTTTGCAATACGTGGCACTTTCAGTTACACGTGTCAGCATGAGAAAATGCCACCCTCTTTCCTTCCCGTGACTCCTCAAATCCCGGGCCACCACGATAGCCGTGGGAGGCGGTGAAGATTTTCCAAATTCGGTTGAAAGTTGAAACCTGCAAAAGATTAATACTAATAGAAACTGTCGAAGAAATACAGATTCTTTCCAAAATTGGAGGTCAGTCTTTTTGATCAACAATGGCAGCCATTCCTATAGCTAAAAACGCCGCCTTCAACCTTTCCAAGGCTTTTCCCCGGTCCAATTATCCTCTTCTTTACGGCGAAGTGTCCAGGGTCTGTTTCACTACTGCAACAAAACATTCCGGGGTAACAACAGTAACAACGCTACCCTTTTAACTACTAGTACTACTAGCATATATAATATATTCTTTTAACTTTCCTTCTGATTCTGCTTCATATTGCCATTTTAATTTCTGGGTTTGAGTCACTAGCAATTCTTTTGCATGTTTACATGTTTTATTAGAAGTCTTGATCTTGCGGTAGTGACTTTTCCCAAAAATGAACTTAATCACCTCTTTGTTTTATTTTTTTTTAATGTTTCACGCCTTTGGACAAACTTGTAGTGTTGTGCTGACTGATTATGTATATGCTTGCTGTGAAGGGTCAATATGCAGAACACGATGATAGAAGAAGAGATCACGGTAGGGATCTTTATGCTGATAAGTCTGATGAAGATGCCGCTGAAATGACTAAGAGAGCAAGAGAAAGTGTGAAGGAAAGCATGGGCAAAACCAAAGAGCGAACCCAAGAAATGGAGGAGAAGGCCAAGGAGGCTGCTGAGAAAGCAAAGCACAGGACTGAAAGCGTGGCTGAAAGGGCAGCTGAGAAGGCCAAAGAAGGGAAAGACTGGGCAGCGGATACAGCGCAAGAAACTAAAGAGAAGGCCAAGGATAGAGCTGATGAAATGAAGGAGAAGACTGAAGACACGGCTTATGAAATGAAGGAGAAGACTAAGGGGACGGCCGAAACGGTGGCCGAGAAGACGAAGGAAGGGGCGTATAAGGTGGTGGAAACGGCCGAGACTGTTGGGGAGAAGGCTAAGCAGACTATGAAGGATGCTTGGGGAGCTGCAAAGGAGACTACTCAGAAGATTAAAGAAACTGTGGTTGGCAAGGATGATGATGATGATAAGGACCGTGTTGAAGATTTCATGGAAGATCATGTTAGGAAGCCTGCTAGAAAGCACAGGGATATCCCTGTCACTGAGGCACCTAAGGGAGAGCACCCTGACGGTGTGACAATGGATGAAGATGTTGTGGAGCTGAGGAGGAAAGCAGGGCAGCATGATCATCACGATAAGAAACACTAGGATTTAATTAGAAGTTGCATATTTACTTCGTGTTTTTTTTTTTTGAGGATGAATTAATAATTTAGTCCAGTTGTATTAGTTTTTTGACCCTTATGGAATCATCCTCCATTTTGTGGTGTCCTTTTCTTTTCTTTTTTCCTTTTTGGGGGGTTAACAATTGTTGTTACATGTTACCATTCAAATGCGCAATGCGTTAATTACATACAAATTTTTTAAGAATGAAAACTTTTTTTTTCGCAATGTCATCTTTAAAAACACTATTGGGTATTACTTGCTAAGTTAATATTTTAATTTCAAAACATTGCTAAAAATAAGTAAACTTGCTATTTTTTGTGGAAGTTAATGTTCTACTCTCAATATCAAATCAATTGGTAAGAACAGGAAAGGGAATCATAGCTAGGAACTTGGACTGGAAAACTACTGAAAGTAAGAGGTGTAATGGAACGCAGGAATGAAAAAGCTACGGAGGAAGAAGCTCTGGCAATAAGAGTTACGTTAATGATGGCCAAAATTGCAGGATGGACTAAGATAGAAGTCCAATCAGACTGCAAATTTGTGATGGAACCAAATCAATGCAAGCAATGTTCAAGACATTAGTTTTGCAACAGTCCTCGAGGATACTAGTTTTGCAACAGTCCTCGAGGATACTGAGGAGATGAAGGGAGAATTTGAACAGTGTAACTTTTCTTTTGTGTATAGAGTAGGAAATATATGTAGCCATGCATGAGTTTAACGTGCAATCAAACGGGAGAATTTGAACAGTGTAACTTTTCTTTTGTGTATAGAGTAGGAAATATATGTAGCCATGCATGAGTTTAACATGCAATCAAACTAGTACATGACATAGAATGGGATAATGAGCTTTCATGTGGCTAATGGATAATGGATATAGCAAGGAAAGATATGAAGGCAATTGCTCCTTTTGGTAACTAACTCATGATGTGATATATACTCTCTTGCAAGGTCAATGCAAGAGAACAAAAACTAATTGTGATTAACAGCTAGGTATTTTTATCATTTTTACCATGAAAAAAACTTCAGAAATTAAAACACCAAAAACAAAAAAGTGAGATTCCAAAAAATAGTCCCTTTATCTGTGCTCTGCCCCTCTTAAAATAGAACTCTGGCTTTGCAACTGACGTTTAAGGTTGAGATATTTAGGTGGGGTATCCTTCGCGGTTTCCATGGCCGGCTCGGTTACAGGTTTTCTGACCAATTGTGAGGCCATAGCTGAGAAGTCAGAAGAACAAAAGAGGGATTCGTGAATTAGAGAGGGCAACAAAATTACATAATAGCCCAAGTGGGGTGCTCGGCGTGTATAAAACCATAGTTCCATCATCCATGTAAGAGAGTAGACATTCAGGAAAAGGTTTGCTTTATTGTAGAAAGAAAAAAAAAAATTTTCGATAAATGGCAGGTCTTGAATTACCATCTCATGCTCATAATCTATCCCTTTCATGGGGAGGGATGCAAGGATTGCACCAACGGAAAATTCTAATTCAATAATAGCGTGCTGGGCATTAAAAGAAAGGACTTCTGGATGTAAGAGTGTAGATGATGCAGTTGCTGTCAAACTGGCCATGTGCAAGGCAGCAGAGCAGCAATGGAGGAAAATTAGCATTCAAAATCTAGAACAAGGAACTTTTGGGACTAATATCATATCAAAGAGCACACAGGACAGCAGGTTGGCTATAGTGGCGGAAGACATCCGAAGTTTAAAGGTGTTGTTTCAAATGTACTTCTTTTATTTAGTTAGAAAAGATAAAATATATGATTAGCCATAGAGTTAGTAATTATGCTTTAGGAGGAAGTGATAAATCCTATGTGTCATTAAACACTCTTGTATAGTTTTGATCGAGTTTTTGCTCGCTAATGTCAAGCGTTTTTATAATCAATACAAATCTCTTAAAGTTTCGAAAAAAAATTACTTATAATCATTCCCGTCTTACCACTAAATCCAACTCTCAAAACTTTCCATTCGCTTTAATTTTTTTATATTTGAATTTGGAGCACTAGTCAAATTTTGTTAAATAGAGGCGTTAATGGCACGGAACTTTCAGGCTCAAGATGATTGGGATTGAATTATTGAAGTAATGCGAGTGTGTTTAGAAAGGAGATTATTTGAAATAATTATTATACCACTTTTTATGAAATGATACATATATATGAGAAAAAAAGTTAATTAGAAAAATAAAAGGTTGATTGAAAAATATATTTACGATGCAAACAAATAATATTTTGCAAATAAGCCTCAATCCAAACAAACCCAATAGGTCTAATTTTGGTTGTCAAATCCACAATAGATCAATAGCCTCCCTATTTTTTCTTATTTGTTTTTTGTAATAATTTTTTTCTCTCTAGGATGCTCTTAGTGAGAGTTAATTGAAAATTCACTTTGCAAAGTATGTTACCTGTACAAATCACTTTTTAAGCTACTTGAGAAAAAAAATACATCTAAATTGTAAGTTGAATTTAAGTTAAGAATAAAATAAATATTTTCCTCAAAAGAAAGGAAAATAGTAATTCAAGATTTTCAGCAAAGGTTGGAATTATTCATTCAAAAAAAAAGGTTGGAATTATTAACACAATGCATGCGGTCTATCTGGACCAAAGTTCGTTTATTTAGGCCCCAAAGAAAAATAAAATTTCCTCCAAAAGCCATCTTTAAGTGGGCTGAAAAAAATTTTCAGGGCTTTGTACCATTAACATAGGCCTCATCACGTCAATGATTCCGTCTTTCCGAAGCTGTGGGCTTCAAAGGATATTTGTATCGTTCCTTATGGGGCCTCCAAAAGGCTTCCTACCCTTGAGCAACTCATATGGGCCTCCACATTTCATTTGCTCCATCTTGACCAAGCAAAAGTTCAAAATAGTAAATCTTTCTTATTAACAAAAACTTTCCATGCTAAACTAAAATAAAATTTTTGGACTCAAGCCCCATTTGGAATCGAGGTACTTTTGGTAAAAAAAAAATATATTTTTAGGTGTTAAAAGTACTTTTAAAGCGTTTGATGAACATCATCCTATAAAATTAGGAACAGAACTTTTAGTGTGAAAAGCACTTTCAGCAAAATTTCAAATTTGGTGCTTTTAGAGTAGCTTTTGTGATTTTAAAAATAAAATATTAAATTTAATTATTTTATCCTATATTATAAACTAAATAAAGAGATAAATACATTTAAAAATTTTTAAATCACACGTTATCCAATTTAGTTAAACACTTATTGAACTATGTCTCCAAATAGCATATTTAAAAGCACCTAAACACTAAATAAATACTTTTATTAAAAACTCTATTAAAAAAGTATTTTTTAATAAGCTACTGCAATCCCAAATTGGCCCTCAAATTATTACAAATCCTCCTGATGAAATTTGGACTTTACTGTATAGGATTGACTTATCCTCGTGTTATTTCTTTATAGTTTTTGCTTATAGCCTCCATCTGACCAAAAGAAATAATAATAAAATTTCTGGACTAAAAACGTAATGAACGTTTTAAAATTGGAATAATTGATCAAAGCATGCATTCTTTTAACTTTTGTGAATAATATATTAATAGTCAATGGCTAGCCAAAATTCAAATATTCTAGAAATTTTTTTTTTAGGTAGAACATTCTTTACACATGTCCCCGCCAACTCTGAAATCATGCATGCAACTCTGTCTAATTACATAAGTTCCTATAGGAATACAAAGCTTGCTGATTTCTCCCTTGGAAAACAAATGATATTTGCATTTTAAACTAAATTTTTTGACACTTTCTTTACGTTATAAAATGTTAAAGTGGAGCCATGAAGTGCAAAAATCAATTACCCTCAAGAAAATTAAAACTTTTTTGAAAAACATTCGAATACCTTTTCCCCCCTTTTGTAAGGAATGCCCTAGAATAACTAATTTGTAAAATTTGGTGACCAACTCAAGTCAAGTTTTATTTTCGGAATAGACCGTTGGTAAAATGGTAACAGGAAAGCTTCCGAGAATGAGAAAATGGAGGACTCCTAAGTCAAGGTCCTCGTCTGACGTCAGAACAGACATTAAAAAATTGAAATACGAGTAAGAAAATTCTCAACTCCCCAACTCGTAAGAGAAAGAAATGAAAATTAATGACAAAGAAGAGGGAGATATCAAAGTGGAATGAGTGAGATAGAGACAGTTTCATTTTCTTGCAGGAAGAAATATATTTTATGAATGAGACAGATAGAAAAGCATGAAAGGAAGAGTTCATGAGAGAAGAATCTTAGTATAGCAAGTGATCTGACAAAGCCCACCACCCCTATTCTACCGCCCCGCCACCACCCAACCTACTGGCGGGCCGCTCTTCAGCCGCCTCTGCACCCTGTAAAACACCAATCCCTTCTGTTACTTCATCATATATATCATCTCTCTTTTGACCTTAACTAGCTATACGTCTCTTTCTTGCTTAATCTTTGTTTTTCGTTTCTTGCTTAATCTATCTTTCGATGTTCATCCTCTACTACGTTTCATGTTAACAGGTGATGTGGTGTTCTAGGAAATGAGTGATAAGTAGGATTTTGGGGAATTTTTGGACTTAATTCGACAAAAGAATCCCATTTTATTTTGTCTAATTTAATTCTTCAGGTTTATGATACCTTCCCTTGATAAAACTTGACCTTAAGTTCAGCGTTATCTAAAGGGACGGACACCGTACAAAAGTACAGTTTTTATTGTCTCTATTTTTCTCTAGGCTTGGGGGGGGAGGCTCTTAAAGAAGACCTTGACCTTATGGATACGGAAGAAACAAGAATATAGCAGGTGACCTTCAACCCTCCTCTCTCTCCAGTCCAGTTTATTTCACGGGTTGACCTCTTATTAGGGAAGTGAATCTATGTGGATTGTTGGTGGATTTGACTAAAGATTATGCGGCAGATTGAGGGGCTTTTAATTCTTGTTTTGGTTTTTCTTCTGCTATGGAAAGTATTCAATTCAGCTTCATTATGAGGCAGCCGGAGTTATGATTTTAAACCCCGAGTTGGATAAACATCCTCAGTTTCACACCAGTATTTATTTCCACCAAGCTGAATTCTCGTAATCTCACCAGCACATTTGTTCAGACTCCATATTTGAGGTATATCACATTAAGTTTCCAGTCGAAACATTTATTATTTCGTTGTGCATGCCGTCAAGGCTGCTACACCGGAATCTTTTGAGGGCAAGAGGATTTCCATCATAAATACTCGCCTGCACTTTGCTATATTCGCACCGAAAAGTTTCACAGCAAACAAGTTTGTTAGGAAAAAAACAAGTTAGAGGTATAAATTCCAACATCTCAATCAAGAATGGAGCAAGAAGGACAGCAACAAAGGCAATCCAAAGAGGTGGAAAATCCTGCTCCACATCAGCCACCACCACCCAGGAAATGTCCTAGGTGTGAGTCGCTCAATACCAAGTTTTGCTACTACAACAACTACAATCTGTCTCAGCCTAGGTATTTCTGCAAGAATTGCAGGAGATACTGGACTCATGGTGGAACCCTAAGGAACGTTCCAGTCGGCGGTAGCTCTCGAAAGGCCAAACGGGGCAGAGTTTCGCCTATTTCATGTGGTGGAGAGAGCTCAAGATCTCGACCTTTCCCACCGACAAGACCACAACAACCACCACCACAGCAGCAGCCAGAGGGTATTTTCCCAAACATAGCCAACATGGCTGCCTTGGTTTCAGGGATTGTTAACTTACCCCCGAGCACCCAGCAGTCCTCGAGAACCATTTCTTGGGTTCATCCACTAATACCAAGTTCAATTTATCCAAATGGGCTGTTTGCTGGATTTGATGGCATGCAAATGCCACCCTTGAGCGGCCAAGGTCAAGGAATGAGTCGACCACTCCATATTGGCGGTGGGATTGATGCTACTACTGGAGCGGGTGCTAATACCCCAATCTTTCATGGATTTGATTTCTCATCCATGAAACCCCAGCAGGCTCCATCTCAACCGCTGCAAATTCGCGATCAGCCCAGTCAATCCATTGGAATAGGTAATCAATACAAGGACAAGCAACCTTTGTTCACACCTGATGGAAACATGGCCTTGACTGCAGGAAATCTGAATTCTTGGACCACTGCCGGGAATTCCAGCAATGCTAGTACCTCCAACTTCAACATCTGGACCAACACCAATGGAGCAAGCACCTCTAGTGGCCCGACTGATTCTTCTTTCAACCCGAATGACTGGCCTAATATTCCAGACTATGATGATGGTGAATAATTTTCTGATTGCTGAGAAATCAGTTGCAGAAGATCATGTGCTTTTGATTAGAAACTTCGTTGAATCACTGTGTTGCCTTATAGATCTGAAATACATAAGAGTGGAAAGAAAATGGGGATTTAAAGGTTTAGGAATCTATGTAAATGGAATAATAGCAGCCTATAGCCAGCAGATTATGGCTAGATGATGTTTAATGTTTACCTTCTTATAGAAAATGTTTGGCATTCGGTTTAGGTTTGTGCTTTAAACTTTTTGAGTTTTTGATCAAAAGTTAAATTTAATTTGCGTGTTAACGCTTTTGTTTTGTTCATTTGATGCTTTTCAATACCAGTAAGAAAAGAAAAAGGTCCTCGCTTTATTGAACTTAACTAGTAGTTAATTAGGGTACTTTGCAGATTAAAGTTAGAGAAAAGCACTATGGTGAAGAGAATAATGTTTGTGGGTGGATGGCTGAGCTCACATGTCTCCTTTGCAAAAGGTGATAGACAAGATGGATCTAATTTTTGCATGTGCCTTTCTAATCAGAATAAACATTCCAGTCATCCAATGCTCCATCCTGCATTACCATGAAATGGAGTTCCTCTACCTAAAGCAAAAAATACCTTCCATGGGTTGCACGTACTAATTAATTTGGAATTGAAATGGTTCTCTCACCGTAAATTGCGCATGATACAAGGCATAAACCCTAAATGTTACAAAATGTTGCCACGCTTCAACATTACTTTTTGTCAATATAATTGATTGTATTGTATAAAAGAGTTTTTTTTTTTAATTTTGAGAAAATGAATAATCATGGGTATGTCCACATTGGACCACACCTTTCAAAAGAATCACTACTTTGTTCACTGTAGAAATGTTAGAATTGAAATTTGCTTAATGATTTATTTTGAAAATGCATTTCTAATCCCCAACTTACACTCTAAGTCCCACCAAATTATAGGTCAAAATACATACTCAACAATCATTGGTAAAAATTATCTCTAACAAATAATCTATGGCCAAGAACAAATAACATCATCACAAAAGCTTTGCATGATCGAGATTGGTCTACCTTTATTTTTCTCTCAAATCATAGTTAGTACTTACAAGACGTCAAATTTTTTTTTAAAAAAGGTAGAATTAAAATGCGTGAATGCTGAATGATGTGTGACAAGTTAACTTTTTTTTGTTCTTTCATCCCATTAGGATCAATGAAGGGGAATTTAGAACTCACAAAAGGGTACTTTATCAGTGCACAACCCTCTATCTAGAGCTTACTTTGTATTTCTACAGCACAGAACAATTTAGCTGTCAATAACAACAGGGACTTACACCAGGTGGTGCCCTTTTTTCAACTTTTACGTGAGCTACATGATGAAAGACCATGATGCCATGCAAGGCGTTTTCTCGAATCACCATTCGAGGGACACGTAAATATTCTGATCCCTAGAATATTTCTATATATATCCGCAACACGAAAACCGCACACGCCCACATTCATTTGAAAACATCAATGGTTCTGGTTACTCAAATTCATAGTGGTTGGCGTGCATGTCCGTACACAGTTTTGAGAAGATAGGTTGTGGATTTGGTGACTTTAGAATAGTTGGCACAGAGCACACCCGAACCAACAATACGTTGATAGATTCAATGCACAATTTTGGCTTTATGGGTTTTGCAATAGAGATCAAATTCACGTAGGGTTGAAGTAATTCGTCCTAATCATAATTATATGTACGTGCAATAAATAACTTAGAGAGAGTGAGGCTTCTGTGCCCTAAGCTTAACGTAATTATTATAAGTTGAGGGGATGAAGTTGCTAAACCATTGATTATGTGGTTTTGGAGAAGGGGTTTTTCGAGCATAGCATGAGCATATCGTTGAGCACTGCCATTGAAGATTTTCATTCCGGGAATATGCGCACGGAATAGCTGGTGTCATATGAATGATATTGATATGCCTGCTAGAAGTTTTTGTAGCTATATATGAGATCATCTCACACTAGGTTTAGATCTGAGTTAGTATTCTAGCTAATAAGAAAATATTGGTTATTCTATTGTTTTATGTCAACCTTTTCTGAACATTCTTTAAAAAAGTTTTGAAGAAAGACAATGTAAGAAAGCAGAATCGACAACTTTGAGAGGCTCATTCTAACTAAGACAGATGAGAGGGAATACTCATAACTCTCATATTATTCGATCATCATGTTTTGTTTGAAACTTAAATCTCTATGCATGGAATCAAAGAAAACTATTTTCTAAATTCTTTAGTGAACCGCCATCAACTTTACAACTCAATCTTAAAAAAAAAAAAAAAAAAAACTTTACAACTCAATCTTCTCAAGAATTACAATTTAAAATGAATCGTACGTTGTCCATTTATTATGAAGACATGTTCCAATTCATGTCTTTATTTGGAGAGAAGGCAAAGCTTTTACCAAGCTCCTGCGATTCTGTATAATCTCTTCAAAGTTAAAGGAAAAAATTTATACAACCTATAGGTATGACCATTTTCTTTTTCATATGTAGTGCAATTTAGTGGAACAACAGTTATTGCTAAGTCATTAGTGACTTTGAGATGTCATGTACCTAGACAGGTGGTTAAGCCTGTAATGGAGTTGGAGGTGAAATACCCATCCTCTTCATTGATTTATAATACTAGTTTGAAAGTACGTGAATGAAGTGGTCTTCTTCTATCTTTATTAAGAGTATTAAGAAGATGTTTTAAAAAGTTGACCTACTATTTTTTTTTATTTATTTATTTGCTGATAACCGTGAATTCAAGCCAAAAGGACTGAAGCAAATAAAAGAGGGTAGGTAAAAATGTGAGTCCAATAAAGATAAAGAAACATTAAGAATCATCAGCATACTTAATTTCTTGTGATGGAAGTGGAGTAGGTTTTGATTAATTTTAAACTAAACGAGTATATAATATGTACTACATAGACAATTACTTGTATATGTCATCTGAGTCCACCTACTATATATCTTTATAGTCCCTTGAACCATCCTTCGGCAAATACTTTTGTGCTTTGCGGGGCAGTAGGTTTGAGTGAAAGCTGACATATTAGTCATACTGCAACGGTCCTACAAGCTGAAATTCGTAAGTTGGTGATGCAAAAGGAGTTGAATTAGTTCTACCATATCAGCAAGACAACAAATAATACTACCTAGGGTGCATCATCAGGAAATGGGCCGGCATTACTGGAAATATTGGTAAATTCGCATTTTTATTACCTTAAAAATGCTCAAAGATGGAGGAGGTAAGGATCGATCAAACCCTTTTCTGATAGGACCAAATCTTGTAAAAAGAAACGACTCGTATAGCAGGCTTGTTTTGTATGGATCAAAAGGTAAAATTGATTTGCGTAAAGGTTTAAAAAATACCATGCTTAATTAAACATATCGGAAGAATGAATGTAGCACAATGTCTTTTCAGGAAAGCATAAGTTAATTTGGTGACTAGTTTGAGATAAAAGTGTCAAAGAAATTGTGACACATAACTTTACCATTGCGATAGCAATATCAGATATAACAATAAACTAATGTTGGAGCAGCAAAGATACGTTAAAAAAAGGAACTAAATTGGTACAATATAGTGGTAATTAAAATAACCGTTGTAAGAACATTAGTTGAAAATTTTGGAAAATTTACCATTAGGTCTACAAGTTTTGGCTTCTACGCAAAATTTGTTGCATGAAGTGATAAGAAGTTCCATCGAGATACTACTGATTCAATCTGATTAGCAAGTTCTAAAATTAATATGCCACATGCACGTGCGATTTTAGTGGTACCTGGTAATTCAAGCGTAAGATTATCATTTACCAGGTCTACGTACCATCATCATGTAATATATCTTCACTGACATTCGTCTATGATTTATGGTTTTTTTGTCCAATATATTTTTCTTTTGACAATTCATGCTGCTTGATCTAGCTATCTTCGACAGCACATTAACAGAAGAAGCAGAAAGAATAAGTTTTCAATTAGCTGATAATTAATTGCGTCTGCATTTAGGGCTGAGGTAATCCATCTCATAATCAAAAGGTTGAAATTAAGTTTATTATCTAAAACTTAAAAGTTATAGAAGGTCATAATCCATCTCATAAAATCGTGTAAAACTAAAACTTTTAAAAAGTTATAGAAGGACATCTGTACGTAACAACCAGTAACAGCAACTTCAACCCAATTAATATGTACACCATTAATTGGGAAAATCTAGAAAATCATCCGTTGAAATAACAAGAAATTCTCTTAAAGATGTGAAGGAAAACAAAAGATATAACTAATTACACTCCTCTTAGCTCGGCAAATGCTAATATCTTAGGTGTACACTAGCTAGAAATGACATGGAAACAATGGCATGGCGCATGGTAGCAGCATTTTTTTTTATTACTGAGTTTTTCGATCTTTGTTGTACTTGTGTGTATATAGTGCTTCCTGGAAAAGCGCCGGTCACATACATTCAGGCAGAGGTCCTTGAGAATCTGGCTTGAGTAGAATAGAAAATACCGGTTCATTTGCAGGCTCCCGGACAAGCATTATGAGTGAACTTGTGTGGGTAAAAGCTGCTTTAATTATTCGGAGTTGCACTTTATCTTTGTTGTTTCTTTTGAGGGATTGGTGACAAATGCACAGGGGAACAATCCATTGTCTGGCTTTAACACCACAAGTACATAAACATGATAGAATTGGGGACCCTTCCCTACATCATAGCTCTGAATATATACCATCACACACATGTTCATATGCACTCTTCCTACATAATTAAGTATTTCATTAGACTTCTCATATGTGTTTGTGGGCTTGATACCCCACACGATATTATCATTTTGGTCATGAATCGGTCTTGGTCAAATTTGTGCTGTGGAGACCGGAGAGTTCAAGAACTTTTCCTGTTTTTTGAGTACATTTTCAGTGGCCAATCACAGCAGTTGACACTTTTCTGGCCAAACTTGTTACTTTGAATTATGTGGCATGATAGTGCTGTGTTATGAAAGATTTTAACGATCGATATAAAGTCCTACTATTGTTTCTCCTTAATTCGTGTTTCTTTTTTTTTTTTTTGCTGTACGTAACAGTTGGGAGTTAAAATAATTTGATTGTCCCCTCGGTTGAATTCCCAATTTTACTTCAAGAGTAAGCTATAACTCGATCGTCCGCACTTAAGGTTCACATCGTAATTCTGGCCTTGTAAAATGAAAAAGCTGCACTAAATTAACAGGGTCATATTAGAGTTGTAAGGCGGGTGAACAAGGCCTAGCTCCAAGTGAGTTGAAGTACGTAGTTGCCATGACTATGGTTAGGATAAAATACGGGAATGGTAGAATAAACATGATCGTTCATGTTATGTTTGTTCTTTTCTGCAGGATTGTCCTTGATTCTCCATATGCAATTGCCTGTAGCAGAGAAGGTTGGATCTTGCAGTGTTGTCTTCTTCTTTAATTTAACCATAAAGCTAGGTTTTGATGCGTTCGTGAAAGCACTAATATATGCTGTGCCCTGCCCCACAACTTGTACCAATAATTAATAAATCCTTTTGCTTTCAAACTTTCTCCCTTCATGGGCCGATCTGAAGCCTTCTTCTAGGCTAGAATTTGGAGAGACACAGAATCTGCACGTCCTTTTCTTTCCTGGCGAAGGTGCCGGGCATTGTGGTTGCGTAGGGGAAAAGGGTTTGGAGCCATAAATACATATAATATGTATAATTCTCATTGGCTTGCGAACGAAATTGGCGCATGCATAAGCAATGACCCCCCCGGCTGCTGGGTAATATTTTCTTTAGAATTGCGTGGACTATGGGTTTGAGGGAGGGAGGCCATCATGGACAAGATAATTTAATGGCATTTGCGACTGTTGGAGCAATGATAATCAAATTCCACGTAGATGCTACCTGTCCTCTTCTAAATGTATATGTATGTATATGGTTCATCAAGAATATTACTATAGTTTAGGTTTGTCTTGTATGCTAAGATTAAAACTTCGTTTGAGTCGTCTTTACTTTATCTTGGTATTCATCAGTTTTCGTGGACAATTAATGGCTTATATCCATGATCTCTGAGCTTTGTGCACATATGCATATATAGCATGAGCCCAGAATTAAGCCTTCTCGCTCATACTTCTTATAATAATTTTTACTTTGTTTCAGCCGTACGTTCATCGATCGAGCAATAATGCAATGCTTGCCCCTCCTCAAACAAAATATGCATGGGACCTCCACCATCAGTTATCATTTTAGCTTCTTATATTATATATTTAGTGCTAGCTTAAGATGCATTTTTCCAATCTACCTGAATTGATAATGTTCTTGTTTTTCTTGGTTGATTTTATGGATGCCCTAGATCTCTTGAAACTGAGTATAATAATTAATGCATATGTGCACCCAACTTGCACGTGACCTCTATCAACTTGTATACTTCTTACTATAAAGGTGTTATATATAACTACAATCAGGATGCTTTTTAAAAAGAAAAAAAAAAATTCACAGCCAAGAAATACTTCAAATGGGAGGAACATTTTGACATTTTTGTGTTAACGTCATTTATCTCCAAAGCTTAGAAATATATAGTACCGGTTTGCTACTTCAAATTCAATTGATATGGTCATTGAATTCTGTAATTATATATAGCATAATTTATGCCATGTGAACAAATAGCAGGGAAAGCTGGTGCAAGAATTTTATTTATTTATTTATTTTTTGGTGAACACAGACGATGAGAACCTTAACGTTTATCTCGGTAAGGAAATTAAAGATATTTTGTGAGAGTAGAATTTAATTACAAGTATATTTGCTTTTACCTTGGTTACTACTAGCTCTTTTGGCACAAGGGAAGAGAAACTCTTTTTACTGAAGGGTCTTCGCACTTCGTTTGATTGGAAACTTGGGAGGAAACAAGAAGCAAAGATACAGGAAAATTGGTTTAAGTATTGAAAATATTCATACGTTAGCAATCGCAAGGAATTTATTTATTTTTTTTTTTTAAAAAAAAAGAACCCTCCGCAAGAAAAATATTTTTTAGGATTAAATTTTTATCCACTATCGATGTAATGAAGTTTTTACACTAACAAGTGTAGATGTATGTCACATATGTAGAAAGTAAATTTAAAATTAAATTACGTGGCATATATTTAGAGTCGCTCGAATATACACACTAACCGCGCATAAAAAAATTACTTTAACTTTTTAACCGTGCATAGTTTTTTTTGGTTTCGCGCTGTTCAGAAATTAACGTTTTGGTCTTACAACCTCGCTGGTTTATGGTCACGGTCCAGGGCCTCGAAGTAGATAATTGGGCAATGTGGAATAATTAAATGGGTAGGGCTGGAAACTTTTGGCCCGCCAATAAAATGGGTTGAACGTGGATGCCAAGATTTGACCACTACAGCACTAGTCAACCTCTACGGGCTTGTATCATTTTATGCAGCTGTGAATTTATTTGCTTTTTTTTTTTTTTTCAACGCAAGTGTATCCTACTTTGTCAGACTAATCTCCTTGTACTTGTGCACCTTGCCTCCCAAAGATACACAAACGGTAAAGAAGTAACTCGAACACACAATTTTGAGACCTAACTAAGCTACTCCGAGACAAAAGGAGAATTTATTTTCTTGAGTAGTGAATCAAAACATAATCCTTATTACACATTCATGCATGGCAAATTAAAGCTCCTATTACCTACAATCACTCTTGTATCTTTTCCAAAAAAAAAGAAAAACAATCACTCTAATATTGTGATTCTTCTAAATGCTTATAATAAATCTTTTCAATCTTGCTTTCAAAAAATTATTGCCAACATTCTTGTTTTTTTTTTTTTGGGAATGATCAAAAATTTCATCGGAACGAACCTTCTTTCTACTGGTGTAAGTGAATGAGAGCCCAAAATAATAGTGCATCACATTTTTACAGCTACAGGTAAAGGGATGTTACATTATTATGTTTTTCAGCTAGAAACCCAAAAGAAGAAGAAGACTACCTAATGAAGTAAAATACTGGGTGCAGATTCTCAAAAACCGGTTTCATATGTATTCCTACAAGTATTTAATCATAGTTATGCATATATCTCAGACATGGTGACACTAGCAATAAAGTCTCTCAAAAGCTTAAATGTGGAGAGTAATTTGGACAAATCTGCCTTTTTTCTGATTTAGAAAAGTAACATGCTTGGCAATGATGGAGCCAAGGGGGGCAAAGGGGGGTTTTGAGAATTTTAATTCATAATATGTAAATATGTGTGTAAAATAAAATTAGCCCTCCCTAAATTTTTACAATTTTAGTTTATATTATGAGAGTTGATATATATATATATATATATGAATTAGTTATCTTTGAATGGAATGGCTTGCAAGCTTTAATTTGTTATAAATGTTCATATGCCTATTACATTCATTGTTTGGCTCATAGGCTTCAACTTGCTTTAGTTGCAGCTTCTAGAGAAGTAGTTTCTGTTCATCAATTCTTCTCCAATTTAGTTTTCATTATCAACATTGTTACTGCATCTAGCAAACATAATGATGAATTAAATGAGGCTCAAGCAATTGAAGTTGCTACTAAAATTGCTAATGGTGAACTTGAAACTGAAATGGGACTTAATCAAATTGGCACTATAAAACGAGCTGGAGATACTCGTTGGAGCTCTCATTTGGATTCTATTTCTAGTTTACTGAAAATGTTCAATGCTACTTATGTGGTTTTAAGTAATATTGTAGTAGATGGAGGTTTATACTCTCAATGTGGAGATGCAAATTTTGCTTTGAATCAGTTGTTATCCTTTAAGTTTGTTTTTACTTTGCATCTTATGAAAGATATTATGGAAATTACTCATCTTCTTTGTATAGCATTGCAACGTAAATCTCAATATATTTTGAATGCAATGCATCTTGTCTCAAGCACAACAAAGCTACTGAAGAATTTTCGAGATTCGGGATGGAATGATTTTCTGATAAAAGTTAAATTATTTTGTGAGCAACATCCAATTGATATCCCATGTATGAATGCTCAATATATTACAAGACGTGGTAGATCTCGAAGTCATCATGATGAGATTAGTGTGGAGCATTATTATCGAGTGGATATATTTCTTGCAACAATTGATTATCAATTGCAAGAGTTACATAGCAGGTTTAACGAACATACCGTGGAATTGCTTGTTTTGAATACTACTTTAGATCCTAGAAATGGATTTATGCTGTTCAAGATTGACAATATTTGTAAACTTGCAGAGAAGCTCTATCCAAATGATTTTATGGAGCAAGAACTAGTACATCTAAGAATAAAACTTCAACATTTTGAGCTCGAGATTCCAAATCATTCTGAATTGCAAGAATTATTTGATATTAATTAGTTATGTCAAGGCTTGGTGAAGACAAGAAAATCAGTGATATATTATCTTATTGATAGATTGATTAGACTTGTTCTTACTCTTCCTGTATCAACTGCAATTACAGAGCGGGTATTTTCAATTATGAAAATAATCAAGACAAAACTCCAAAACAAGATGGAAGATAATGTTTTGAATGATTTGTCTAACTGTGTATATAAAAAAGGAAGTTGCTGAAAAATTTAGCAGTGATTCAATCATAGATGAATTTAGTTCTATGAAAGAGCATAGAGCTCAATTTATTTCTAAGAAAAGATGTTGAAATTTTAAAGTATGTTAATATAACTTTTATCTTTTTTCAATTGAAAATAATTACATTTATATTACATGATTATATATATATATATATATATATATATATATATATAGGTAACATATTGGAGAGCATCTTCTTATGATGGCAAATTGGATGGTTTGTGATGCTATAAGATATTTAATCAAAAGTTATCTTTTTTGTTAATTTTTGTTATGACTGCACCGCAAATTTATGAATAGACATACCTTTATAATTAAATTTAATATTTGATATTTTTAGATGTCATATATTTAAATAGAAGAAAATTATTTTGAACATAATATATTAAGATAATTTTATTAGAAAAAAATTTTGGCCAAAAAAAAAAAAATCCTAGCTCCGTCACTAATGCTTAGCATTGTCTAGGGCATAAAACTCTTTAGAGTTAAGACTAATGAGTGGTAGATCACTTGAATACTTTATTTAAGGCAAATAGTGAATCTTTATTGATATACCAAGTGAAGTTACTCAAGCTGAAGTTTGCAATACAAGTGCAATCTGCACTGTAGCACAAAGTCGACCACCTATCTTTATTTTTCTTTTTTCAGCAGGAAATTATAAGAAACTTGATACGTCAAAATATGTTGTTTTTTTCAAATATGTAATATACCACAAATCAAGTCAAACAAAATTTCAAGTATGACTCGACTAGATACATTTATAGTCCAATTTTAAGTCATTAACACCCTATCAGAAACATCATCAGTCTTGGATAAATTTAATGGCTGGACTAATTGGTGCACATTGAACACTCGTTAAGAGGGAGAGGCTTCAAGTGTTAACTTTTTTTGAAAAATGTAGTTAATTAGATAAAGTATCTAAGTACAAGAGGATGCATTAACTGTGTGTAGTAATATAGTAAGTTAGGTGTACTATATGTGCATTAACGAGTACTCAATGGGTTAAGAAAAACATAAATTTAAAGCTTTAGCAACAAAAGAATTAAAACATCGAGTTTGTATTCAAAAAATGTCAAAAGAAAAAAGTAGAGCTAATAATTATATGGTGATTCAAACGACCTCTTTTTTCCACCAAATTAATAGCGTTATCATTTCCACATTATGCTCTATGGCAATAGGGTATAATAGAAAACTTAATGGTGTTAGTAATTATGATCCGGACACAACCCTGAAACGGTGGAACCGGGTTGTTAAGTCAAGGATGATCACCACTTATGTGCTTGCATAGTACTTATTTATTTAGGTACTTGGTGGCGGAAAGTATTTGCTTATTCTATGTACTTTGTGGCGGAAAAAAAAGCCGCTACTCCCTCCGTTCTAAATTGGTTGTCGTATTTCGGAATTCTAAACTTTTAAAATTAGTGAATTGATAGTGAGGTTAGTAAATTTATTTTTAAAATTATCCTTAAAAATTTAAATTTAGTGTAAAATAGAAATAAAGATGAAAATAATGTTGAAAAAAGAGATCCAAAGTAATTTTGATTTTGAAAGATGAAATATATTTTAAAATATTTCTAAATGAAAAGCGTCATATTTTCATGGGAAAATCGTTCAAAACATCCCTCATATTTTACAAAATGACTTTTTGAGTCCCTTACTTTAAAAAATATACTTTTACGTCCCTTACAAATTCACGTTAGTTAAATTTAGTCTCTATCTAGGTTTTCGATTAGTTTTTAATCGGAATCTACCATGTGCCTTGCTTGTAATCATTTTTGAAGGGCAAAATTGTTAAATCAAAGTTTACATAATCCGATCCATAGTCCTTCACATTTCACAAAATGAATTATTTCGTCCCTCATATTTTACAAAATAAATTTTTTTCATCCCTCATATTCTAAAAATAATTTTTTCATCCCTCATTGATCATGTGTACGAATAACTTTTTTTAAAAATTAATATATATTTATTTGATTCCACCTGAATAATATGAATAGCATGTAATATATCTCTATTTTATTTCACCTGAACGTACTGTTCAAGTGAAATTAAAATAGATATATACAGGGGTTTTAAAAAAATTATTAGTTTTTTTATTCATGTTCATTCCTTTTACTCAAAAATTGAAAACAAAAAAATATTTAATTCTAAACATTATCAAGCATTTATATTGAATTCAATTTGGACAGAAAAATAAATAAAGGAAAAGTATGACAAAATGAAGTAAGTGATTGACACTTTTAAATTTTAAGATAATCATAAGCTAAGAAATTCAACTATTGGTCTTAAAGGGAGCGAGTAAAAATTTCAGATTTAAATTGTAATTTGTTAGCATGACTATAAAAGTTGAATTAACATTGATTAATTAATTAGATGGTCTTATTATGCAACTTAATAAATGAATTATTACCAAAATAGAAAAGGTTGCAAATATTAAATAAATTTACATGGTGAAATCAAATATAAATATATATGGGTTTAACAAAAATTATTAGATTTAAACTCATGTATATATCTATTGAATAGCATATGCACAGCTACAATTAGTCTGTTTAAATGAGATAAAATAGAGATATATTATATATTATTCATATTGTTCAGGTGAAATCAAATAGATACATACATGAATTTAAAAAAAAAACTACTTGTGTACATGGTCAATGAGAGATGAAAAAATTTATTTTGTGAAATGTGAGGGATGAAAATTTTATTTTGTGAATGTGAGGGATGAAACAATTTATTTTGTGAAATGTAAGGGATTATAGATGAATTATGTAAATTTTGATTTGACAATTTTACCTTTAAAAAATAATTACATGCAAGGCACGTGATGAATTCCGATCAAAAATTAGTCGGAAACTTAGGTAGGAACCAAATTTGATCAATATGAATTTGTAAGGGACGTAAAATTACACTTTTAAAAGTGAAGAACGAAAAAAATTATTTTACAAAATATGAGGGACATTTTGAACTATTTTCCCTATTTTCATGAAGCAGATGGAGTATGGTGGAAGTTCCTAAAATTTCTTAAACTATAAATGGCAAGTAGGGATGGCAATGGGGGCAGGTGACCGCGGGTACCCGCCCCGCGGGGGGCTAATGGGAAGGGGGATGGGGCGGGGGGAATTTTTTCCCTCCCGCTTAGAAACGGGGCGGGGGGCGGGGGGGTGTACCCCCGCCCCGCCACCCGCTTTAAAAAAATAAATATATAAAATATATATAGGTATATAATTATATATATAATATATAATTTGATTAGTTACAAACTTATGATAATGATATTATTAGTTATGTGTATTATATGATGTCTATTAGTATATATAATATAATTGATATTATTAATTATACTAATAATTATATATGTGTACTAATACAAATTATTAATTGGTTATACTAAATTTACTAATACATTTATACTAAATCTCTAATTACACTTAATACAATAATATTTTTTCTTAAAAAAAGCACAAACACAATAATGAATTAGTGATTGTATTTGTACCAAAAGTGAAAACTTGACTACTGTAGTTATATTTATTTCATTATGTTGGATTGTATTCAAATAATTTTTATTTGATTGTTTTTATAAGTTTCAATTATAAAATTACAATGAATAATAATTTGATGATGTGTTAATATTTTAGTATTTGATTATTTGCTAAAATTTAACCATAATAAAATTAAATAATAAATTTTTATTAGCCCCACGAGAGCACCCGCGAAAGAAGCGGGGCGGGCAAGGCGGGGACGAGACGTGGAGCGGGGGACAGGGGATGGGGCGGGATCCGGGAAAGTTTGTAAGCAGCGGGACGGGGGATGGGGAGGGATCCCCGCCCCAACCCCACCCCCGCCCCATTGCCATCCCTAATGGCAAGCACGCCAGGCCGTCCTTTGATTCCAGTGCACGTCATAACCTCGTCCACTCATCGCATTTAATTCCGTACGATATCTGTGTTTTTCTATGCAGACAATTTCTAGGTCTAGAATGACCATGCAGCTTCACAACTACACATGCCCTTTTCTACAAAATACTTAAAAATTTATAAGAGTTAAAATTATTCCATTACATGATATTAGTAAAAACTTCTAAATCTTGTGTAATGTAAATACTATAGATGTTTAAATTATTATAATTTTCCTTTTAATTTGGTTTATGATTAGATATCTTTGACGTTGCTTTGGACATTACCAAGTCATTTTTTCTTATCACACACAAGAAGAAAAAAAAAAAAAAGAGATACAAACTGCACAAACATAAGATATATATCACTTTGAAGAAGAAGATTTTCAACGTGCAACTTCCGTTCCTATACATAAGATATATATATATATATTGTAATTTTTGTGTGAAATTCAACAAGAATTATTTCGCCTAGCTAGTTAAGTTCTACTATATTCACGAAGGCATAATAATCGTTTTGACTTGAGAATCCAGGAAGCAAGTTTTCCAACCTAACTCTCCCTGTAGACCAGATAATCCCATGCAGAAAAAGGGTTAAACAGTACTATGTTCGATCGAAAACTAGAAGATGATCAGAATAGTTGTATATATGCTCATAATATAAGAATTAAACCACTAGCTAGCCACAACATTTGTAGGGTTAGAAAAAAAAGGATCAGAGTAATTGACTACTTATATAACTATATATTTGAGAGAAAAAGGTCATTCTAATTTTGCAGTCTCAATTGAAAAGTGAAAGAATTTCCGATGAAAGACAGAGCAAACCAGCACATCTACTTAGCCATACGCCAAAGTAGCCAGTGCAAGCTTTTACTGATACATGGCTGCACTGGAAATTCATGTATCGTTGTAAAGTAAATTGAGAGAGAACGAAAATTCAGAGTCAAGAATTCTTCTTCAGCAAAATTTATATATATATATATATATATATGTGTGGTCAAAAGTAAGCAATCCTCATTTTACTTCACGGTAACACGTTATTTTCTTGGTCTCTTATCTACGTTATTCACAGGAGTCTTTGCGAAACTTTGCCATGTAAACACGTTTATATCTGTTTACTTTCTCGAAGTTACAAAGCTTTATGCATATAAGGTTAAAACCGGTAAAATCAAGTGGCCCGAATCCAACTAATGCCAAACCACAGCATGGAGACGGAGGACCACTCAGGTCCAAATTACGTTGTTGACCCTCCCACCCACTCTGTGTGTGTGTGTGTGTGTGCACCTGTGCGTGCCTTTGTGTCAGATTGTGCGCCTGAGATGAGATGTGAGAATGCAGCAGTGGATGGATAGAGGAAGAGATAAAAGCCAAATAGAATTACATAGTGCAACTCCGAACGCTTTTACTAAGACACATCCATCCACCTGTATATGTATAAAGTATAAGCCTTCAGATCCAACCATTTAGCCCAAAGTACTTCAATTGTGATGGCACATTGGCACCAAGACCAACCAAATTGACAAGATGTGATCATGGATGGACAACTGAACAAATTAATAACCTCAAGCACCCCAAATTGAGCCAAGAAATTAATCTCCCTCTCTTGTATACCATTGTACCGACCCTTGCCCTTATATGAACTACATTAAACAACATAAAGTGGAACAATTAATTAAAAAGAAAAAAAAAAAGTGGTTCCCCATGAGAAGTTATCCCATTAGGACTCTATCATATGTATCTCAGTGACCCCAAACCCCAAAACCTAATACAAGATGCTAGTACATAATTAAAGAAATGGAAGTTCCATGCACATATATACATAATGAACATTAAAACAACTCACATTTGGACTAGAAATTGCAACCCCAAGTTAGATGTTCAAGGCGTCCCTTCAAATCTGTGGCTTTTGGGAAGGAGGGCACTGCTTGAACTTGGGCAGATGAGACAAAAAGGATCCGAGGTTCCTCTCAGCGCAAATGGGATTCCGATGATCAACCCTTGAAGTAAAAACATGCAGGCTGAAGTTCATTTGCAGCTGACATGATCACTCCGATCCAATCTCCTCCCATCAGTTCTTCAATATTCAAGAACTTTGCTTTTTCTACTTTTTTTTCTTCTTTATGCTCCTTTTGGTAATAAAACCACCATTTTTGACCAATGAGATTTACTAGAAAGAGAAAAACTAAAGGCTAACTACCTGAAAGACTGATTTACTAGAAATAATGAACAAGAGGGAGATCCGTCCAGGACAGGAATGGAGCATGGCCATACGCTAGATCAAAGAAGGAACTGAAGACCCCACATTTGATGGATCAAGCCAGGCACCGACTCCAGTTGCATTCCACAAAAGCGAAGGATCAGAAGAGTTAATCTGATCAATGTGATTCTGATTACTAGCAACGCTCCAATCCAGCCTATGCTGGCCTTCCTCCATTTTCACATCTTTCACCACTACAGAATTTTCACCACTCCGCGGGGGATGCATTTGCATGTCTTCAAACCCTTCAAATCCTCCACCAAAGATCATTTTTTGTTGCTGAAGTGTAGAAGCTATGAGGGAAGCCATAGTTGAAGTAGTAGAAGTAGAAGTTGATCCAAAGATAGAATTACTATAACTTGAAAGAAGTGAATTTGAAGGGATAACACCAACATCTTGAATCTGCTTATTTGAAGAAATTGAATTGATCCCATTTCTATAATCACTCCCATTAACATCACTAGCAAGAGGTCCTGATGAAAACCCTAATCCAAGACCATTCATTTGAGGCTGAAGAAGATCATAACCGTTACTAGTGTTGAACCTGGCCGGATATGGAAAATTGAGCTCCGAAGGATGATGGTTGTTAGTAAGCAAGCTATAAAACAAAGGATTAATATGATTTCCTGCTGATGAACAAGATAGATCTATCTGGCCTGGTGGAACAACATGACTAGGGTTTGAAGTTGCAGTTTGAGCTGAAGTTGAAGTAGCCTCATTAGTAGAAGCTGGTCTTTTAACCCTCTTATTCTTCCGACATCCACCACCAACTGGAACATTTCTGAGAGTTCCACCCCTAGTCCAATAACGCTTACAAGCCTTACAAAAATGCCTTGGCTGAGACAAACTGTAATTGTTGTAGTAGCAAAATTTTGTGTTTGATGAATCGCATCTAGGACATTTGAGGGGTGGTTGTTGCTGTTGCTGCTGGTCTTGGCTAGGCTTCTCCATCATCTTGGCTGCTGTTGACTGATCCATCAACCCTTTCTCATCTATCATCTGATTCTGGACCAGAGAAAATCAAGATGAAGTTAAGATTAAAAAAAAAAAACAAACAAACAAGGAGATCAGGAAAGAAAAGAAGATTCAAAAGGGATGACTTTAGTCTTTGGGGTTAAAATTAACACACAAACATAGTATTCCCTTCCAAAAGCTAAGAAACAAAATGGGGTCATGCTTTGTCTAATAATTGAAAGGGAGAGGAGAGAAAGAGAAATGAATAAGAAGCAACCTGTGGCTGCAGTGGCCATTCATTACTGGTTGATGAAGAGATGACTACCATCTTCTCACAGTTTCCTAGCATCTCTACTCACTGAGGAGCAAGGGAATCGTGTTGAAACAAGGAGTATGAAGACAAATGCAGGTGGCGACGTGAAAGTATAGTAGTCGTGTGTTGACGGGGGGGTTGAAATATGGATGGAGAGAGAGAGAGAGAGAGAGAGAGAGAGAGAGTATTAGCAAGAAATTAACGTTAAAACGTTGTTGTTTAACTATAATTTCACGTGAAGGGTTTGGTCTAATTGAATCTTGAATAGATTTTTAGCAAAGAGAAAAAGTGAAAATGAATGAATATACAATTGGGAGACATTCCTAGTAGAGGAACAGGACAGAGGGATAAAGGAGCATATTACAGATGAATCTTGAGAGGTTCAAGAAAAATAACAATTTTCATGAAACCGGCATCCCCCAACAGGTCAGATCGCTGCTAGTACGTAAAATAATTACTTCATTCCTTAGTTAGATACAGACGGATAGGCATATAGAGAGAGATAGAGGGAATCCCTAGAGCTCATTACTCGAGGCGTTTGGCACAGCAAATCCCACTTCCACTTTGTCTATTTTTTTACTACGACTCAACAACGACCAGCATGACTATTCCAGACTAAAGCGAGTGTACACATATTTTATATGCCCTACACACCAATATATCCAGTAATTATCCTGTAGTGCACCCCTATATAAAATCCCACTTTATTTCCGTATCATGATCCGATATAATCTGTGAATTATGATGGGCTGTCGTTCAATGAAAATATAGCATGATTACCGGCCATTATATTTAAACTTGTTCCCATGTTTTGCCTCGAGAGTTGCCGACTTTTAGCGTTAAATTTGGGATTAGGTTTAATTAACTAATTTCAAAAGTCAGATAAAAAAAAATTGACGTTGGCAGCACAATAATATGGACTCGAGTGAACTTCTCAGCTTATTATTTTTTTAAATAAGAATAGCGCGCTTGTGTCTGAATTGAGGATTATTTGTTTTATTTTTTAGAATACGTACGGTAAAAATTTTTACAATATGATATATATATAAGATAAAAAATATTAATTATGCATTAAGTTATAACCATAATTCACCACACCAAGAGAACCAAAAAATCTAATAGTACCATATATTTTTTGTTCTTTTTGTGCTTCATATGGTTGAGATGTATGTGCTATGAAACTTTCACATCTTTACATGGTGTATACAATATGGAATGGAATCATATCATCTGATCTGACAAGAATTTTCGAGGCCAATTGATGGAAACTTTGCAGGAAGTTGTCAAGTTGCATTATATAATAAATAAACAAACACATATTCCAAATCTGAATGCAGAACGAAAATACCAAGAGAAAAGGACAAGAGGGGAGCATGTCTGCATGTGGATGTCTACATCTATTGGTCTCAAAACATATGGTTTAGACCACGCTTTATTCGCAAGGAGCCCTTTTTTTGTTCAGTTTTTGCTTTCTTCTTCTCTCTTGCTCTCGTAGCTAGTCTCTCCCTTAGTTTTGGAGGAATAACACAACCGTTAATACAGGTGTCAGTCGGTTCAAATACACATAGATTAGTACTTGCATGGATTTTCTTGAAAAGAAATATTCATATGTTATTGAGGAAAAATGAGCGAAAGTGGAAACAGAAACTTTGAACATGTACGCATCAGCCCCATGTGGAGGCAGCTCAGCTGCTGAGGTGAAAAGAAGGAAAAAGCAAAGTAATGTTTGGGGAACAAATGGATTTTGTAGTCTCCCAAGGGATTTTCTCATTCTCCTAACACTCATCATTATACTTCTACTGCAGCATCTTTCCTCGATCGTTAAAGTTAAGATGTTAGGTCAGTAAAATAATACAGACTACTGGATTGCGTTAATAACAGTAAATTAATCATGTCTTTTAACTAATGACTATGATGGTAGTAGTCAATTTACTCGATGTCCTAGGTGGTGCTTGAGTTGAGTACTCATATTTACTGCTAGAATTCAATTTCTCATCTGAAGGCTCAAAAGAATTATTATTATTATTTTTTTAAGTTCTCTTCTGATTTCTGAAGGTTAACATGCATGCTGAGAAATCCAAAATTTTGAGGTTGCATTTTTTTTTTTTTTAAAAAAAAGGAGAAAAAAAGCACAGAATTCTTAACAGTTTTAAAGAAACGCTATTTGGACTTGTCAAGTTTAGAACACATGCACCCAACAGAGAGGTTCCCTTGGTCTTCCGGTTCGAACTTGATGATGCATGCTCATGATTACAATTACATTTAAATTTTTTGAATACCAACTCCACAGCATGAACAACAAAGTCAGAATCTCATGATTACAACTAAAATTTTGAATAAATTACATTCACATTTTGTTAGGGTTTCAATGTTGAAGATACTATATGAATATCAACTTCGCAGTCAAATTTGATGCTTTTCTTCATTTGAATTTCAATTTGCCCCTTAGACAGCGCTGAGTTTTCTATTGTTTCTTAATTTTTTTTTTAAAAAAAATTGACGACACATAATTAAAGGGTTGACATTTTTAAGTAAATTTTGTGTGAAAATCATATTCTGTTTATTTGAGGACCTGATTGTAAGCTGGAAACTCTAATAAACATACACTATAGAGCAACTCAGAATTAATATGTTGCCTCCAGAATTCTGAATGCTTGATTGAGAAAGAAAGTATGGCAGTTTGCATCCGTAGTCCCCCCTAATTCATTGTTTTCCGGATTATGAAGAGCGCCAATCAACAAATTATCATCCCAAAAGAGATTAAGCAGGTCGTGCTATTTAGGGCTTGTTCTTAATTAGTTGATTATTTTAAGTGACTACAGATTCTGATTTTGGATGATAAGCTTTTGTGATGCTCTTGGTTGCTTTTATATAATGATTATCAATTTTTTAATAATAAAAAAAGTTAAAATTCATAATCAACTAAAGAGTAACTCTTACTAATTTTGATTATTCACCATAATCACTTTCTATAATCAGATTTTCTAAAATCTAAAGCAAACAAGAATAAGGCCTTAATTAACCTCCCCCCTTTCCCCACCAACCCCCCTCCCCCCCGCCCGGCCCAAAAGAAAAAAAATCATTCTTCACCTACGGGAGACAAAGAATGAAGATCCAACTTTTGACTTCAGATCATAATCCCCAGGTTCGTTTCAAAGCTTGCTCAGTGATGTGCTGTGCTTTGATAGTATTAGACTATGGGTAAGTTAAGAAAAGAATCCAAAAAAAATAATACTCATGCATGCATTAATTATTATGTTTTAACTCTTTTGATCAGAAATGCTGTGGCTGTGCTCGTATTAGTAATTATGTGAAGCATGCATATGTACTCCGCAAGGGCCATGAAATGAAAGGACTAATGAAGACATCATGATTTATAAGCACCTATAAAAATGGAAAAAAAGAAGTCACAATTTCAGAAAGAGAGGGGGGCGGGGGTATGTCAAATCAGTTAGGAAAAATGAAAAGAAAAAAAAAAAGGAACGGTATAGAAATTCATGAGATAAGAACAAATTAAATCAGCTTTTTATTGATTATGACAACGTGATTTTAGTCTAAGTAACGATGAAGAAACTGGGATTCGATTAGCTAACAACCAAATTTAGGAGTGCTTTTTCCTTGAAACGACAACATGAACTATGCCGCTTCTACATTCCAAAAAGAGTAAAAAAATTACCAATTTGAAGATCTTTTAACAGACCATAGTTTTTATCTATGGTAGTCTGTTTGGGAAGGGAACCAAATTATTTTTTAAAAAGTAAAAAAAAAAAAACAATCGATTTCCTTACAAAAACAAAAAAGAAAAAAAAAGAAAATTTTTTTTGAGTTGATTAAGTTGGATGTGGATACGTGGTAGCAAGAAGCAACAAATGGCCATAATTTCAGAGGTGGAAGTGGGTCCAATCTAAAGCACAGATAGCTCAATCACTCACTTGCCAACCCACCACTGACTCTGGCCGGTCTGGACAAGAGAGATTCCAAATTGGCAAGCATGAAAGCAAGAAACCCAATGCACACGTTAATGGGGTAGTTTGGTGTAGAATCAAAGTGATGGAGGAGAAGGAGGGGAAGACTCGACCACTACTTATGTATCAGCAAAAGAGATAGAGACTGAGGATGAGATTGGGGGGACCAAAGCATCAAATCAGTGCAACTGTACTCATCAAACACTCCCCCACATTCCCCACCCCAGAACAATCTTCAGACAAAGATCTCCCTCCACTTACTTTGATTTTTTTAGTATCGTCTGAATCATTCAAACTTTCTTTTTTCTCTTGTTTCTTTTTTTGTGGCTGAGTAGGGTAATTGTAGTTGACTTCTTCTTTTTACAATTCTTGTAAGTAATTAAAAGTGATTTACAGCGAGTTTTAAATTCGAACTCGAGTACTCCCAACACAAGGATCAAGTCCTCGGTATCAAAAGGTAACAAATGATATTTGGTGGCATCACATTTTTTTTTTTTTGAAATGCATTTGTTATTATAATAAGTGCTCCACTTTCTTCTCTGTTATGGTCAAAAACCACAGAGCTGATAGAGCATCGGCAACAGACCTACGGGGCAAAATTATATATGCCCAGGCTAGGCTTCAGAAATGATTCCAGAAATGGAGCATTTTCAGACGTAAGTTAAATTGATCATAATACCAGGGAGATAGTTTCGTGTCAGGATATGCAGACCCTGGTTTAAGGTAAATTATTACAACACAGAGATTCGCGGGGTTCCATCATCCCAACAACTGCGGGAATAATCATCAAGAATTTATCCTCGGTAGGTAACTTAGGAAAGGAAGAAGATGGGAAAGTTACACATCCCGGATTTCTTTAGAAGTTACAGGAACACATATATAAATAAATAAATAAATAAATAGTAGTAGTATTTTAAACAAGTGAAGTCATGAATTTCAGGTTTTAATTAATAAAATGAATATGACAAATAATTACTGTGATTTTTTTTTTGATATATAATTTGATTAAAGTATTCTCAATTTGTAATAATCGGTTGAGTTGAGTCAGAGCTGATCTTGGTGCCGCGAACAGCAAACTGGTCCATAATGAACTTCTTGTTAGAGGGGAGATGTGAAATTAATGGGGGGGTCAACAGAAGACGAAGAATGTGAACAGTTGATTATGTCTGGGGGATATCCACTTCGCAGCTGCTTTGGTCAATAATCACGGGGTTGGCCTTTGTTTCTTCTTCTTGTTCTTCGTACATAGAATCTTAACCATATTCTCATGACATATGGTTGGAAAGCAATGGACTGTTTCCCTTGGAATTTTCGAGGCATTGTTTGTTCGATGGGTCCGATGCCCATCCCAGGAATGTTTTGTTTGACTGTTTGAATCAGATTAGCAATTTCATTTGGCCTTAATCTCAAAATGTTCCCCCATAATGTAACTCATACTAGGTAGTAACAAATTACCT